TTGGATTGCAAAGCGAGTACATCTAGACCACCGTAGTAGTATTTAACAATAGGAATAATGTGGTTGATATATTGAATATTTCAGCTATTATTAGTTGTTGTTCGGAACAATTCCGTACCAACTCGATAAGTTTCTCGTCCATTATAAGCAACAAAAGAAACAATTGAATTTATTCCTTTTATTTTTATTGCTAGTTCATCAGTAATCATACAGCATCATACGGACTACGTACGGAATATAAATTGGCATCACTGATCCCATTTTGTGGGTTGCTTTTCGCAGTCATCAATTAACTACATGGTTCTTTCATTACTCTACTTCACAATGCATAAAAATTGGTGCAATTGTAAATGAGACACGGTCACAGACAAAAAAGGTCGTTCTAACTAAGCATGTAAGTAATAATCATTTGATCTTCTTGATACACCAAGCAATGAATTATGTTTGTTATGTCCTTCGGTTGATAACTAATATATTTAATTCTTATAGATACTATTCATTTGAAATGGATTTAAGCTTTGAGTATAACCTGAAAGGTCGAGTTTTTGGGATTTTTCAACAAAACAAGCCAAAACGACTTTTTTCACCAGTTCATAAATGCGTTCTGCTATCGAGCTTTTAATTTTTCCACTAAAATCGCTTTCATGGCTGCTACTTATGGAATTCTATATTCTGCTTCTGATTTTCAAACCTTTGAGAAAAATTTTTATAATATCATCTATTATTTCGCTTATGCGGATAATAACATAAACTCGTATTTCCAGAAGTTATACAGTACTTATTGACGGTCAGTAATCAGGTAGAAGAAGAAACAGGGACCAAAAAAGCTTTTGTAGATCCACGATGTGCAATTTCCGATCTTGGCCGAAAGAATTTTAATTTCTGATACAAAAATTCCACGGAAGCTATATTTATTAACCAATTTAATTCCAGTTTTTTTAAAGATGGAGCTAAAAATATTCTAATTTGTTACATAACACTTGAATTTATTTTCATTTATGAAAACACATATATTTATTTTTTTGGTTTCAAATTTGACAAGAATTGCTTAGCGAATTTTGTGTATCTACGTGTTTATGACTTATATCATTATTTATTTGGGTATTTTTCTGTGAATCGTAATTATAATTATTAAAATTAAAAATTATTCTGTAATTTGGACTGCACATTTAAGAATAGAATTTTCAAGATAATTTAATACACAAATAGTATGTAGAATAAAGAGAAAAGATTAAGAAAAATTGAATCATTATATAAATATATGTTTATCTGTCATACCAAACATGTAAAAATTCAGTAGGTAGTAAAAACAAATATGTGTAGCCCACTCTAAGAACTGCTCTTAAAACATGTATATTAATGATTAGACAATTATATTTATAAATATAGACTATATCTAATGTAATATTTTTTGTTGTCTAACAGAATGGGACAATATTATGCCTTTTTTCTCATTTCTAATACATAAATAGTGTTATCTTAAACATAGATCAAAATAATTATATTCGGTATCTGAGTTCAAAATAAAGTAATTCTTAGTGCCCTACATTTCGACACAAAAATCCTGAATTTTAATCGTTAATAAAAGAATTTGCAAAGGCGTTTTCTTGCTTAGTGGGCCGCATGTATAAGCATTTTATAACATAATTGCATAACAAAATTATCGTTTTTCTCAAAATATAAACCCTGAGTATTTTAATTTTATAATTATATTTTTACTTTAGAAAATATTAAGTTAATTCAAATCAAGTAATGTGTTTTTTGATACCAACATGCTAATGATCGAAATACTTCATGACAATTCAGTAATTGTTATCTAAAATAAAAATATAAAATTACTATACAAATATTATTATTGAAAAAACATACTTAACATATTGTTTGAAAACATTTGCTAGTATTTGTAACAGTCCTTCAGTAATATTTTCATATTTTGGGTATTTTGCCACATTGCAATTAAAAAATAATGATAATCCCTATACAGTGTGTTAATATTTCCAAAAAAAAAGACTGCCTAACATATTGAAATTGGAATTAAATTGAGTAAATTTGTTTCTTGTTCTGTTCGACAAAAATCTGGCGCAATGATCTACAATACGATAAACTAACCCATTTTGTTCACTGTTATTTTCATGTGTTCATTTTTTAAAAATCATAATTGATTTCAGAATATTACTATTAAAATACATATATTATCACCAATTTTAAGTAATATTTATTTGGATATTTTTGAAGAAAACTGTGTTAACAATTTAAATAAAAAGCCTTTTGTTTGGTGGAGATGTGTAGACGATATTTTTGCAATTTGACCTTTCGTCAATTATTAAATATATTTCTAAATAATATTAATAACAAGGAACGAACAATTAAATTTACTTTGGAAGTAGAAAGGAATTTTTCTATAAACACTTATTTCTAAATATGTAATTGCCATTTGTTTTAATTAAAATATTTAGAAAAGTAATGAATTATTCCTTACCTTTCATTACCTTTCGTAATATTTTAATTAAAACAAATGGCAATTACATATTTAGAAATAAGTGATTATAGAAAACAATCCCGCACTAACAGATATCTAAATTTTAGTTCAAATCATCATACTGATATAATCAAAATAGAACCAGATTGATTACCTCAAAAGATGAAATTTTTAATAATGAATTGATACACTGAAAGAAATGGGCTTATTAAACTGTTTATCTAGAATAATGTGTATAACGCATATTAAAACTTTTATAACCAATATACGACTTTTATTAAAAAAAAAGCAATAATCTCCATTCTCATTATAGAATGAGTTTAACTGGAAGGTGCTTAATACACCTTATGCATCTATGAAATAAAGGTTATAATGAATTACTTATACATTATTAGGTGTTATAGACTTTATGTTCCAATTGTATAGTAGGGAAGATTTGTTGTATAAAGATCAGTATCCGAATTTGTATATAACAATTATATTAACAGAATTATTCGTTCTTATACTGAATATATTTCCGTTTTTAACGTGTAAAACGCGTCTTATAATGGTTAAGTGATCGTCACCTCTCCGTGCATAATCGGTTATGATCGTAAAATTTCCGACAGTCCGCTGTGCATCGACTTACGAATATTACACGTCTAGTTTGATGAAAATAGACGGTATAGGCACATGTTTTGTGGGATCATATCGCGTTGTGTGAAATGGAAAATTATGTAAGTATCTAATTGTTTTATGGCTTGTAATTGTTTTGCTTTTCAAATGTAAATCTTGTCTAAATCTTAAAAATTATTATCTTGTAGGTATGCCCTATTAGAAACCGCTGATGGAAGTTTTACATAAGATGGAGGAACAGAACGCTAGCGGTGACAAAGAGGAGCATGGGTATAAAGTCAATCAACCAGGGGGAATAGAATTAGAAGGAAAGATGTTCAACCTTTCTGGGGATGCTTCATTCTTAAGGTGGAAGAGTTATAGTGCAAATTCTCATGTAATACAAGAAAATACGGGTGCATCGTTACTAAGAAAATAACCTGGACAATTTTGGGAGCGATTTGTCATCATTTTTAATGCTTAAAAGTATGTTTTGTGTATGTTTACATTAATACCTTAGCTTGTAATTACAGTTATCCAATAAAATTTCTGAAAACTTAGTCATATATTTTTAACTTATACAGAGGATACAACAGTTTAATACATCTATTATTATAGAACTTATAACCGGTACTAGATGTTCTAATAACGATATGGAACACTTTAATAACAGTTATTGCTATTATTTCGTAAAGGGTATAAAAAACGTTGTATATTAGTTATACAATAATAAATAATAATAAAGAATAAGGTTTATAGTCACTATACAACTGTGCTAGCAGTACGCGTTTTATATCCAATATTCACCTGTTTAACTGTCACATATAGTATACAATGGTCTTATAAGGGCATATAGAATTCTAATAAAGAATACAGCGCATTTCTTTCAGTGTAATTCATAAAAAAATGTAGTCTTTAGATATATTGAAAATAAGACATATTCTGTTAACAACGAAAAAAAATTACATCATCAATAAAAATTCCATATATACCTGTACTATCGGAAAAATGAAGAAAAATGTGTAACAAATTTAACATTAGAACAGTTTTTCAACAACTAATGTCAAAGGCGAGTCCAAATAATAATTTTCAGTATACTTGAGAGTATACTTTTTGAATGCAACAAACATTATATTGGAGAGACTTCTCGACCTGTGATTATTAAAATAAATGAACACAAAAATTACATTAAATAACGAGGTTGTGATAAATCCTAAAATTGATATCACATTTGGTCATAATATTCCATGGGATCAGCCAAAAATTTTGATTAGGCAAAACTTTTTACATAAAAATAACTCTTGACCGATCATTTTGGCCTCCATTTTTTACCTATCCAATTATTCACCCATTTAACTAAATTATTTCTTGAATTTTTGTTATTATTAGTTATTGTACATTTCTTTAAAAAAGTATTAAGCCAATTAATTTCGTCATAAAATTTTCCTAAAATTCGCATCAGAAGAAGTCATATGTTCTTTAATAGACATGCTAAAGAAAGAAACACTTTGTCTTTATGGAAGAGATTTTTTCAAAAGGTTTATATTATTTAATCTAACATGTCAGATGTGTGTTTTTATTAATAATATATGTACTGAAAATTCTTTATTTTTATTTTACACAATATTATAATTACTACTAGCAATATTGTCTATAGGGTATTTTTTTTTCATCTAGATATTAGTATCACACAACTGATAAGAATTTTAGACAAATTTTGTAATTGCTTGGAATTAGCTTAATGCTTTTTAAAGTAAAGTAATAATAAAACAAGGACACATTTACCAAACAAATAAATATTCACTATTCACTTAAAAAAGTTACATTTTTATAATCATCGAAATCATTTTGATATAAATAATTTCGTCTTTCTACCCATCAGAATAATTCAATACTTCAAAAATTTTACGTAAATTTAAATAAAACGTTGTTGAAACATTTGATTTATTTGTTACTAATTAGCATAATACAAAATGTACACAAACGTAAATAACAACATACAAAAAAATAGATAATTATGATTCCTTTTTCTCTTCCAATTTCGCGGGTTGTCCAGTTTGAGTAACAGGGATTGCCCTTTCCTCAGTCTTTTTTCCTTCGACGGCTTTCGGAGCTACGATCGTTAAAACTCCATCCGAAGACAAATGAGACTGCACTTGGTTCACATCACAATTTGAGGGAAGCACATACTTTCTTATAAAATGTCTAGAAATATATCCATGTTCATCTTGCTGTTCTTCGTGTTTTCCCTCAACAGTGATAGTTCGGTCATCAGTTATTTTGACTGTGACTTCATCGGGTTTAAACTGCTGCACGTCTATATTGGCTTGAAATTTATCTTTGTCGTAACTTACTGTTGATCCCAAATCTTGAATCGTATTCCTCCAATTTCTTAAATAACCTGCTGGACATTGAATTAACATTCTTGGATTGACCAAACTTTGAAGCAGATCATTTCGTCCAAGTGCTACACCAAAATGTTGGTCCAACAGTCTTGATGGACGGAAAAAACAGGAGTCGTCCCAGAAAGGCACTAGAGACATTGTTGCAAATAAATAGAAAGCTTATTGGGCTCGAGATCTTCACTTGCTTACTGATGCGAGAAAATGGGCGTGCCGCATTATATATATTCGGCAGAGAATCCAGATGTTTCGGAAAGAAAAAGATATTTTTGTTTACTTACGCCGTTAACTGTTCATCGGATATAGCCGCGCGCGTTGTATTAATGCTAGTCAGTCGTGTATGTGTGCACCTAATATTTTTAATGATGTTTTAATTGCAACGCAGGAACATTAAATGTCCCCATGGAAACGTAAAGACTTATTACTAAACTTCTACATAAGATGTCCAAAAACTATGTGCAAAAAATATCAATAATTATTTTACGAAAAAAAATATATATATATTTATATAATGTATATAAAATACAAGATATTCCTTATGTACCAGATTTAATAAATATTAGGCATGTGATTTTATTTTTTGGATCATATTTAGACAAGTAATTTTTGGTTTTCTATTTTGAATAATTACACAGGTCCACAATTTCATGTTTTTAAACAGAGAATGATATACCCCTGTATTTTGACCCACTGAACATGAGGGAGATATTAAAAATGTTCCACCAAGTCAGGATTTTTTCCTATCCTCAAAATCAGTAAAAATCTCGATTCTTTGTTAAAATAGTTATAATTTTCAAATCAATAAAAAAGTATACCTACAGACTAGGGTATGCAATCGCGCATTCCGCGTTACTGCATTCCAGCGATTTCTCGCATGTCAATGAGACCTGCGGAATTCCCGCATTTCTGCGGTAATTCCCGCGCAGGAAATTTTTGAATAGAACACGTCCGTTTAGCGACGTAGCGCGCGAGCGCCCCGTTTGGTTTGCGTGCGCATCCCGTTCCCCTGTGACAGCATTGGAGCATTGATCAATCGAGCGAAGGAAAGGATTAAAATTGGCAGATCTTTGCATCAATCAAACAAATTCCTTGATTCGTTTGTTTATTTTGGAGAAAAAAAGTGTTTACAAAGTGAAATATGTAATAGTTTTATCTTCTTGTATGTTAGTTATTATTATATTATCGATGTGGTAAATATTTGTTTAGAAATTGTTACTACGATTAAATTACTAACCTAACCTAGATGTTTATTAATTAATTAATTTAGTAATTTAACAGCAAGAAATACATTAAGTGACTAGAGACCTAATAATATCTATGTAAAAATAACAAAAGTAATATATTATTGATTTGTTGATTTTTATTCTGTTGATTCTTAATTAATAGTTAATAAACATAGTTTTTAATGTATATAATGCTTATCTGTTTGATTTTTAAATACCAAGAATTATTTATATTTCATTTGATTAAATATAAACATTCCACAATAATAACATTATTATTTTCATATATAAATATATTTTTAAATCTCTCGCTGGAATTACAGCGGGATCCCGCTGTAAAGGCGAATTTACCGCAAATTTCCAGCTAAAAAAAAGACTGCGGGATTGCAAACCCTACTACAGACGTCCTTAAAAACCTTTTATTACGCTTATAAGTGTACACGTATTTGTTCCCTGCCTCAAAATATCTAGAAAAGCGAGTTCTTAAAAAAATTTTCTAAAACAACTTCAAAGACAACTAGCTGAACCACATATGAAAAGGAGAGAAGCCAATCTTTACATTCTTAGAGAAATAAAATTTTGCATACGCCGCGTTTGGGGTATCAAAGAAAAACCATTAGATGGGATCGACGAAGATAGATTAGAAAAACGAAAAATATGCTTCATTTGCCCAAGTAAAAACAGGCGAATGACAAAATACTTGTGTAACACATGTAAGAAACCTATATGCCCTCAGTGTACAAAGAGGGTATGCGTCCGCTCCGTGCATATTTTTGACGATTGTAAATGTAAATTTTACATAATGCCATAGTACAAATATTTTTTTAAAAGTAGTCTCTCAGACGACACATCAGTACATATGTTATGTTCCTACAATTGTATGTCAGTACTTAAGGGTTAAGAGTCTTTAGGAAGAAACAGAAATACTTTTGAATTTGTTTGAATTAACTTAATACTTTTCAAATAGAGAGTAAAAAGACTCCACTATACATATACACACAATTTTTGTTAAAAATTTACTGGTTGCGTCCTGCGCTTGAATTTGGATAAAAACTAGATATAAGAAAGGCGAGTATACACTGGTCTGTAGTGAAATAATTATTAGTATCAAAAATGTTATTTCTGCTTTGATTTCTACCGAGTTTCTACCATAATAAAGTTTTCGATAAAGTTACGAGCATTACACATACATTTTCAGATTTAGAGGTATAAAACAACTATAAAAAATTTCGTTATCACAATTCAAAACATCGTAAAATTAATAATAATAAATAACGATATATTCTTATTTTTAAAAGTGAGGGGTTATTATCCGATGAATAGCAATTTATTAATCACTCCAATTCCTACGTTACGTTCTAGAGTAACCGAGTGCATACGAATTCGTTCCAAAAATATCTCTCGTGAATAATCTGGATATGCTGTTTTCGTTCATCGAATATTGACTATATCAATTATTTTAAATAGGTAGCAATTTTTATTTTTACCCAAAAAAACTTACTTTATTTATAAGATTCGCTGTTTATTTTTGCACTATAAATTTTTTCTCTAAAAATATTTCCCATTAAAATATCTTTCCCATTTCCAAGTTCAATTTTCTCATTAAACTATTAGTTACCTACGTAAAATATGCTTACATTAATTAAGTACATTAAAATAACTCTCATGAATATGTTTTACATAGTTATATAATTATTATTGCGTCTTCTATTGGGTTGGGGAATAAGTGATTTCCGTTTTTTTAAATTTAATATATTTTATTTTTAACTCTACAATTATCAATAGACTAATCAGTGATCATCATTATTTATGATCTCCTTCCAACATTCACCAAGTTTCTCGATGCCTCTTCTGTAAAAATCATCCTGTTTTGACTAGAAAACTCATCCAATCAAGCTCTTAAGCCATTGCCGTTATTAACATCGCTTAAAGAGTTTAACAAAGAAAGGAAGAGGTAAAAAATCAGAAGGCGCAAGATCGAGAGAGTAAGGCGGGTGAGTCAGAACTTCCCAATTCAACTCCCGAACTGTCGTTTTGGTCATATTGGCGATATGTGGTCTCGCATTATCATGTTGCAAAAAAATGGCGTATTGCCGATCAAATCTTTTTGTTGTTTGATTGTTGCGTAAGAGTTCGTAATAAAGAATTCCTTTCCAATCCTACCGGACCCATAACATCATTGTCTTTAGAGGGTGAAGTTTTTGGTCTTGTTCGCGGAGTTGCTTGCTTTTTTAGGTTTAACCGTTCTTTCTGCTGTTTCAAGTTCACACTCAGGCACAGCGACAATTGCGGAGCTTTGATTCTTAAAAACGAACATTACTTATTCCCCAATCCATTACTAAGGTACAAGATATCGAAAACATCAACAAATTCTTGGCGTTAAATGATCTTACGGCTATTGCCATTTCATGGTTTTATCCTGATTGTATGTTTTTTAACTAGGGACGGTTTTCATCAATCTGAATTTAAGTGATTTATGTCAATTTTCACGAACAAAGAAAATGATTGCTCAAAAAGATTTCCGTCATCTTCCGTCTCAAAAACATTTTGTAATAATTATGAACATACTCTCAATAATTGAACAAATTGCTGAGAATCATTTTGAGTACTGCATTTGTCAATTTATATCTTTTTCATAACTGTATATCTGGATAGAATTAGTAATATTAGTAATTTAAAGATCTAACTTAATTGATTAGTGAAAATAAACAGTAAAAATAAGTTTTTCAAATAATAATTGACTGGACAATGGAATATGTTTCTTATATTTAATTACTTAAGGTTAACTTTAGAGTAAACATTATAGTAAATTATATAAGATAAGCGTATGTATGTATCAAAAAAATATTACTGCCACTTCAATGATGTTTTCTTCTGTTAATATCTCATGAACACATTTCGAATGTGTTAGAGTTATCTAGATATTTCACGTTCGACTAATAAAAATGTTATTGCTGGCTTAAACTTAAGTTTAAAAATAACTGCATTAATTTTATTCTAACAACATTGGGAAAAAAATAAACAAAATATTTTCATAATATTCTTAAGGGCTAATGTTCAAAATATATACTTAATTATGCGTGGCGGTATTTTATTAGAAAGTATTGTTTTCGCTAGTAACTAATAACAAAACTAGTAAGTCAGAATATAACACGTAGGATGAGTCCATTTGACATTCGACTCATGAAAATTAATGAAAATAATGACATTTATTTGACTATACGGATTATAATTGTTTTTCTACATCTTTCTTTTTTTTATTTGAGAATGTAAACATGTCAGGCATGTGCTTTTGTATTAATTATTTAAACATTTCATTTTATTTTGGGCGACTACTTTTTACTGTTTAATGAGTATTAGCGTGGTGCAATCCAATAAAAGTTGGGGCATGTAGACCATAGAGTAGTTGTTTGTCGCAGTACCAGCAGTTAGCAATCTTATCTGCGAGGTTGGATGTCTTTTGCGTATCTAGATTTCCGATGTTGAAGAAGTTTGACTTCATTTGATAGGATTTGTTTGAATACCTTAATAATGAATAACAACATGTGAGAGCTAATAAATAGAGTATATGTATTTACACAAGATTCGAGTTGATATTATAATTTATTGATTTTCAAAAATCTTTTAATCGTTTATATCATGATATCTTATTGAAGAAATATTGTCATTATGGTATTTCTAAGGATGTACTAAAAGTATTACTCATCATATTGTTACGAGAACTCTTTATTCCAAAAAAATGTTTTAACATTGACACGACATGTTCTACCAAACGTCAAAAAAAAGGTATTACAAAAATGATAGATTAAAAGCAATAATTATAAACTAAAACTAATCAGGGAGACAGGAGGTGATCTTCCGTATCACTGCCCCCTCTTAGAACTGATCGTCCCGATCAGGTTACTCCTTTGTCCGCATGGCCTTCTTGGTAGGGTGTAAGTCGATCCAGGTGAACAATGTTCATCTTGGCCTGAGGACTCCTTTGGATCCGGTACACCACGTCGTTGATTCTCGTCACGATGGTGTAAGGGCCTTCCCAAGATTTCTGCAATTTCGGAGACTTGCCCTTGGTTCTTTTCGGGTTATAAAGCCAAACTTTCTCGTTCTCTTGAAAGCCGCTGCTGTTGGCACGCAAATCGTATCGGGTCTTCATTCTGTCGCTCTCCATCTTCAATTTTTCTCGTACCTCTTCGTGTACCAACTTTATCCGATGTTTCAGGTGGCTGAGATAATCGTTTAAACTTTCCTCCTGCTGCGGTCGATTTATAATCAGGTCTATTGGTAAACGTAGCCCCGTGCCAAATATTACATTGGCTGGTGTTTTGCCAGTGGTTTCATGAATGGCTGCTCGGTAAGCTAATAAAAATGGAGGAATGCAGGTGTCCCAGTTGGTCAGTTTCTCGTTGACGGCCGTTCTCAGGATATTTTCAATGGTGCGATTAAATCTCTCCACCATTCCATCGGACTGCGGATGAAGAGGTGTAGTCCTGGTTTTGTGGATGCCTAGTAGACCGCAAACACCCTGAAATACTTCGGATTCGAAGTTCCGTCCTTGGTCTGAATGGATTTCCCTAGTGACTCCATAACGGCATATCCAATTTTCAAATAGAACTTCAGCCACGGTGACTGCTTCTTGGTTGGGTATGGGATATATTTCTGGCCACTTACTGAAGTAGTCCATAACTACCAAAATATAGCGATTTCCACTACTACTACGAGGAAAGAGTCCAGCTACGTCGATAGCTATTCTTTCAAATGGAACTCCAACATTGTACTGCTTCATCTGTCCTCGACTTCGAGTCCTTGGTCCTTTAATTGAAGCACAAGTATCACATTATCGACACCATTCTTCTACATCGGAACGACTGCCAAGCCAGTAGAACCGCTCCCTGACTTTGATCAAGGTCTTATTTACTCCAAAATGTCCACCACCAACACCATTATGAAGTGCTTGGAGAACTTCAGGAATTCTTTTCTTGGGCAATACCGTTTGGAACACCCTTTCCTTGCCATCAGGACTCTCCCAGGCTCTTTTTAACAAGCCGTTATCGATGACTAGAGAATCCCATAGTGCCCAATAACTTTTAAAAGCTGGAGATTTGTCAGAAATGTCTTGCCAGGTGGGTCTATCCTTGTTTTTAATTTTCCATTGGAAAATAGGTCCAAAATCAGCATCTTCACTTTGTTCTTTAGCAATACTTTTGTTATCCCAATCAGCTGGGCTTTGAATGCTAGTTCTTCGACAAATAAATTCGTCCCGTTCTCTTACTTCTTGTCGCATACAGTGCTTGCAGTCTGGAGGGCATGGTCTTCTAGATAGAGCATCGGCATTACGATGGTTAGATCCTCTTCGGTGTTCAACTTTGAAGTCGTACTCCTGCAACCGTTGAAGCCATCTTGCCACTTGGCCTTCAGGGTTCTTAAATTTCAAAAGCCACTTCAATGAAACATGATCAGTCCTCAAAACGAACGGCTGACCGTAGAGATACTTATGAAAATGCTCCACAGTTTTAACTATGGCAAGCAACTCTCTTCTGGTCACACAGTAGTTCATTTCTGGCTTAGAGAGGACTTTACTAAAATAGGAAATTACCTTTTCATGACCATCTTCTATTTGTGATAACACTCCTCCAATTCCAGTATTACTAGCATCGGTTGTAACAGTTTACTAATAATAAACATTAGGGCATTGTAAATGCAAACCTTTGAACAGCTCATGTCAAATAAAATGAATGCATTTAAAACATAAGAGGACATCTGATATAAGAGATTAAAAGCAAATTGTACTGCAGAGACGGATGGTATACACTGATTTAAACAATAGTAAAAACTAAGTATAGATAAAGTTTTTTGGGAAAACGCCGAGCGACGAGAGGTCTGGCGTAATCGCGAGGACAGAAGATCTAAGCTACCTAGTAGAATTTGTTAGAGACAAATAATTAATGTAAAATATTATCTTTTACAATAAGAAGGCCAAATAACAACTAAGGTAATTAAACACATTTAAATTAACAAATGTTTAAGATTTTTATATATCGTTTTGATTAATTGCAAAGAAACTTAAATTAAAAAAAATGATATTTAATACTAATGTTAATCTACTAGAATAATTTCAACTCTATTAATTTCTTATATATTACCATCTGTTCTTTTATACCAGGTACTACAGAATGCATTTATTTTAGGCCTTCTTCAGCTTTTCTTCTTGTTCGTTAAATTCCTATTTTCGTCGTGTGACGAATTATCCTGTTTAATCCACAAACCACGAATATTTTTGGAAAAACTATACTGTTTAAAACTCCAACTTGGAAGTCTGGGATTTGTGCTGTTTACTATTGCATAGTGGATTGGTTTGGCTGAACAGTAGCAAAGAAGGGCCCAAGTCTTATTAAGGAAAAGGGTCACCTTGCACGCAAGAAGTACCTACCTACGTAAATTTTGGTGCCAGTAGATGATCTGTTACATATTAATATCAACCCCTGGAATTTGAAACGCGGCCATCTTGTTAAAAAGCACGTATGCAGTATATATTTTTTTATATTATAATTTATTATTACTAATTATTCAATTGCAACTCATGTATTATTTGATAAGCTTTACTTGGAAAACAGCTGTTTCTCGGGTACCTAATTATCATATCATTTTTTGCTAGTCTAATTTACTTATTTTATTTAATTTGTTTAAAATTAAAATTCTACTTTACTTAATTAGCATTAAGCGAATTATTGCTGAAATAATTTATATTAATGTTAAAATTTATACTTTTTACATTTGGCGTAAATAGTTTATAATAGATATTTATATTGCATTGTGTTATCTATTATTTGTGGTGTTTTGTAATCCTCCAATCCTCGTCAATTTTATTTAACTGGCGCCCATGCCTACTATTCTATCAACAATTTAAAACATAAAGCAAATCTCAATGAACCCACGACCAGCCTCCGACATTAGAGCAACCGCTAGCAAAATTATTTGTAACTAAAAAATAAAATAAAAAGACCTAAGAAGGTTATACGGTGTCTACGATAAACTTCTTTCCGGGCTTGGGATATTACAGGATCTGGGAAGAACACAGAGCTCCTTTCAGTTTATGGAAGGCTTGTTGACAGATATCTGTCCAAATAAATGGCTGACTGTTTTCGGTGAGACGATGTAAGGGTCTGGCAATCTCGGCAAAATTTTTCACGAACTTCCGGTAGTAAGTGCAAAGTCCCAGGAAACTCCTTAATTCATGTTTATCTTTTGGTATTGGCCATTTCCAGATGGTCTCGGTTTTCTCTGGATCAGTTTTCACTCCATCAGAAGAAATAATGTGACCTAAGTACTTGACTTCCTTTTGAAACAGCAATCACTTCTTGGGACTTAACTTCAGTCGTGCCTCTCGTAACTTTTGAAAAACTTCTCGGACATTTTTCAAGTGATCTTCAAAATTCTTGCCAAGTATGATGATGTCATCAAGGTAAACGAGGCAAGTTTTCCAAGTCATTCCGCGCAGAATGGTTTCCATAAGTCTTTCAAAGGTAGCCGGTGCGTTGCAGAGGCCAAATGGCATTACGTTGAAGTGCCACAAACCAGTCCCAATGGAAAAAGCAGTCTTTTCATTATCATCTGGGTGAAGTTGAACTTGCCAGTAACCACTTTTTAGGTCTAACGTAGAAAACCACTGGGATCCAGACAGAGTATCCAGGGTGTCGTCTATCCTTGGCAATGGATAACTGTCCTTCTTAGTGACGTCGTTTAATCTTCTATAATCTACGCAAAATCGGGTTGAGCCATCTTTTCTTCTTTACTAACACAACTGGGGAAGTCCATGGACTCTGAGATAGTTCGATGACTCCTTGTTGTTGCATGTCTCTCAGCATTGTAGACACTTCTTCTTGCTTCGCCAGGGGAATTCTTCGCGGAGCTTGCTTAATTGGGGTGCTGTCGCCAGTATTTATGCGGTGCTGCACAAGATCGGTTCTTCCGAAATCATTTTCAGTTAGGGAGAACACATCTTGGTGGCTTTTCAATAAATCTTCCAATTTGGCTACTGCTCCAGCTGACAGTGATGATTTGAGTTGGTTAAGAAGATTTTGGAGGACTTCAGGCAATTTTTCAAGATTACGAGATGACGTTTGTGATTCTACGTTGCTGAAAACCAACTCGGCTGTTTGACAAATCCCCAAAGGCTCGCCTTTCTTGATTTGTTATGGATAGTTCTTCAGATTTAGCATTCTGACCAGTACCGAGTTATTCTTCCTTTCTGTCAATGTCTTTCCGGTTAATATGCCTCTTCTGTAAAGTACTGTCCAGTTTCGGTTCAACAATTACAGTTTCTTTAGTGGCAGTTGGATTGCTACAAATGGCCTCAATTACTACTTCTGAACCCGCTGGGAGTTCGATGTCTTCTGACGCCTCAACTGTTCTGGTAGGAAGGTTCCGTTCGGGAAACTGCATTAAAATCTCTTCATCCTTAGTCTTCAATAGTCTTTGAGGGAGGTCCAACACGAACTTGTTTTCTATCATGTCATTAAGTCCAAGAATGACGTCATCGGTGATATCTGCTACTAGGACGTTTTGTTCGAAAGTGGTTGTCCCCAAGGTTATCTTGGCCAAATTCCTTTCACAGATATTACTTCGTCACTGGCGGTCTCCAAGATGTAGTTTCTGTCCGGATCTTATATTCGACAATGGGCGACGATGTTTGGCCTTACTATGGTATGACTTGCGCCGGTGTCAAGGACCATTTCATAATCCCGTCCGCATATACGCCCTGGTACTACCAAACTCATTCCATTATTATGCAGCCGGGTTATTTTGACCTTAACAGTTGGTGGGGCTTGATAGCACCTAGCCAGCTTTCGCCCCCCAAAGCTGACTAATTGGCGTTTCCCTGATCCTGACTAGATGTGTTGTTAGGGCATCGATTCCTAAGATGCCCTTCGGCTCCACAGTTCCAACACTGGACGGGCCTTCGTCTACTGTACACCATGGAATCGGGATGATCCTTTTCTTTTTGTAAATTCTCCAATGCCTCTTGTATGCTCTTTACAAATCCTTCCATTTTCTTCTCGCCTCCTTGTTCGTCAGTCCGAAACCTCAGTTGCCTAGCCTTGCCCTGGAAGCCTCTGGATGCTTGTCGAGCAGCTTCAATTTCTAACGCCTGGGCCAAAGCTTCGGATATGTTCTTATGTCTCGCTAGTCTTAGTGCTTGACTGATCTCAGAGTCTCGCAGTCCATCGATGAAGCTACTAATTGCTAGCTGCTCTTGGAATTCCGCCGGTGCAGTGGGGTAAGCTAACTTCACCATGCGCGCTACGTCTGCCTCAAATTGCTGTAAATTTTCTTCGAAACGTTGTCTTCTACCTTTTAGTTGGGCCTGGTAGACATGTTGTAGATGAGCTTCACCGTACCTCATTTCTAAAGCAGTCTTCAGCAGTAGATAGTCCTTTTGCTTGTCCTCAGCTATTGTCCTTAAAATTTCCATGGCTTCACCTCGTAGAGACACTATTACTTAGTGATGTAGCTTTTTCTTCTTCTGACCAGTTGTTTGCTAAGGCAGCTGCTTCGAACTGTTTGAGGTAAGTGCTCCATGACACCTTTCCATCGAACGTTGGCGGCTTAATCTTAGAGGATGACCCGGAACCACTTTCCATCTTAACAAATTCCTTGGTAGATAACTGTGACTTAAGATTAGTGACTTCACCCTGTAGCTTGATAATGCTATCTTCTATTTCACTCTGTAACTTCACTACACTTTCTTCTACTGTCTGTACTTTCTCTTTGACCTCATTTCTCAACAGATTAATTTCCTCCTCAACAGTTTCTTCGAACTCTTTGATCTTGGTTTTAATTACTTCTTCCAACTGCTTATTATTTTCTTGTAGACTAGTTCTCATTTCTTCGTGATTATTCTTCATTTTCTTTTTCAAATCTTCCTTCATTTCGTCCTGGCTGGTTTTCATTTCCTTCATCATGTCCATTAACTGTTTGAATGTTTCCTCCATTTCTGCGGACTTCTGTCTTGTAGTAATTGGCATTCACTTTTTCTTTAAACTACTTTTCTTTGTGAAACGTCGAAATTCGCACTACTTGACACCAATGTTATGAGAACTCTTTATTCCAAAAAAATGTTTTAACATTGACACATGACATGTTCTAGCAAACGTCAAAAAAAGGTATTACAAAAATGATAGATTAAAAGCAATAATTATAAACTGAAACTAAACAGGGAGACAGGAGGTGAGCTTCCGTATCAATATTTAAGAGATTCATCTTGAAATATAATTCTTTATACTTCAATTTCGATGCTTATTTTCTAGTACACCAAAGTTTTAACTTAGACCCCTTATTATTTTTATATATTACTAATTATTTCCTTGAAGTGATTTAATATTTTCATTGTTCCTTGTTCGCGGATGATTTGAACAGACAAGTGAGGTTTTTGTGGCATATGTATTTTTATTGGTCTACCACATTGGATTCGAATTAAACTCGAATTAAAGATATGTATTATCCGGACGCACAGAAATAACTGAATAACTGAATCATATGCATCAAAACTAATATCAAGTTATGTAAAGAAAATGTTTATTAACAATCGCATGTTCATTGTGAAATAAAACTGCCAGTGATTTAATGATTTTACATATATTTTAGGTTGTAAAATTACATATGTACAATAAATTATACCCACTGAAAAATTGCCCTGATAAGTCGCAGTTTGAAAACTTGCTACCCACTATTTCTTCTGGTAAATATAAAGGGATGATCTACTGTGGGACACTTTAGTTTTGAAAACGTAGGAGATCCATTTCTAGTTTTGAATCCAAAAGGTTCCATAATTGAGTTCCATAAATTATTTGCAACTAAAAAAATGGTTTCTTTAAATTGATAACGTGTATGGTGGTGCCTATTAAAAACAACACAGGTGAGTTTATCAGGCTAAATAAAAAAATAATTAAGACATTTTTATAATTTTAATTTAGTAGCAATAAAATTATTTGATAATATTGTTACAATAGATTGGTGCATAATTGTTGTAGTTTTTAAAGTTAAAACTGAATAATTTTTTACTTTTCTCGATCATATATCGGAAATGTTTTGATTACATACAGTGTGTCGTTTTTAACGAATTCTTGCCTATAACTATTCAGTTATTTGCCCAAGTTTCACTAACAAAAGATAAATAACTTTAGTCATATATACAGTCTGTCCCGTTTTCAGGTTAACACCTCTGGAAATGTGAGAAGGCTGTGGACTTTGCGCAAACCAATTTTTTTACAAATAGTACCCTGAAGGGAAGTTATATTCTACTAATCATTTTATTGATGCGACAAAAGCCTGGCCTACTACGATTTTTTAAAGAGTTGTTTTTCCAGAAAGTAATATTAGGCATTTTTTTATTAAAAAGATAATATTACCAGGCTATTCAACGCCCATTAAAATACCCATATACCAAATTTGAACGAAAAATTTCTATTGAGTATTTTTTTGTGTGGTGCCAAACTTCGAAAAATCAGACAACTAAAAATTATGATAAACAGGTCAAAGATTGCTATGAAAGTGAAAACAATTACCAATCGGACAAAGAAATAATACAGGCTCTATAAATTTAATACTTTTAATTATATTAATTAATTATTATTAATTAATTATAAAAATAATAACTTACAAAAAATGGAGTGAATTATAAATACTAAATTGTTAAACAAAAATATTGCAAAACGTTAATCTAAATTAAGTTTTAGTTTTCTCCGCCAAATCTCCCTCCAGTCGAACAAATCTTTCCAATCCTCTTTTTAAATTTAAAAATAATTCACATAGCCGTTGTGAAGTAATCTCTGCACAAACTTGTCTTATGCAATTAGGTTATCCAAATTCCTTGCTCTGTTTTTATAATCTCTTTGCTTTATAAAACTCCAAAACTAAAATTTAATTTAAATTAGATTGTTTTGCAATTTTTTGTTTAACAAGTTAATATTTATAATTCATTACCTACATTTTTTGTACGTTAATTATTATTTTTACTATGGCCGCAATTAAAAGTGTTAAATTTATAGTGTCTGTATTTTTTCTTTGTCCGATTGGTACTTGTTTTCACTTTCTTGGCAATCTTTGACCTACTTATTATAATCTTTATTTGTCTGATTTTTCGAAGTTTGGCACTACATAAAAAAAACACTCAATGGATATTTGTCGTTCAAATTTGGTATATGTGTATTTTGATAGGTATGGAATAGCCTGGTAATATTATATTTTCGATAAAAAAATGTCTAATAGCACTTTCTGGAAAAACGACCCTTTTAAAGAATCGTAGTAGGTCAGGCTTTTGTTACATCAATAAAATGATTAGTAGAATATAATCTCCCTTCAGGGTACTATTTATAAAAAAATTGGCTTGCGGAAAGTCCACAGCCTTCTCACATTTCCAGAGGTGTTAACCTGAAAAACGGGACACACTGTACATAAAATAGGCAGTTTATATGAAAATTTTTCAATTATTTTGGACTATGATAATAAATGATATAACAATAATTCTAGTCATATTAATCTGATACTACAATCTAGTACATTTAAAATTATTATTAAAATTGATACATTAATGTAAATAAAAAAATAAATACTCTCTTTTTATGTAACGCTCTATTATGAGGAATAATCTTATTAGTAGCAGCAACAATTTGATGGCGCTGTTAAATTCTTAGCAAAGCTCTCTATCCTTTTTATTACAGTTACAGAGACTTAGAATTAATAGAAATTATTAGTTAAAATATCTCACTTAAGATCGTAAGACCTCTATAAAACTTTTATTTTGTTTTTTCCATTTAAATTAGTAAATTTTTCAAAAAATAAAGCTCATTGAGTTTAATATATAAAAAACTTAACTCCTTAAATGGTAGAATACTTTAAATATTAGAACAAAAACTTGTTCACACTCATCCAGAATGAAAATATTTTGACTGACTTTAAAAAAGTATTTTTTCGTAAATATATCATTATTTAGATCAAATATCTCGGTGAAGTTGCAAGAAATGTTACAACATACATTTCAGAAGATATAACTAGTAAGAACACAGACCTTCCGTCTGATTCTGAACAATGTTCCGACACAAATGCACATATGAGTTTTCAATTATCTAATTGTCTTTGGCAAAGTACAAATAGCAGCCTGAAGATATGATACAACACAAACATTGCCATACATAAACAAAAAAAACAAAAGTTATCTACTATCTACGAAAATTGTACGAGAAACAATGTTTTTAATAAATGTCATTTGAAATGTCATAAGAGATTAACCAGTAAATAGTGGAAAATTTAGGATGGATTTGGGAGTTTTAGTTGTAAGAAAAAGTTATTCTATCTCTAAATCAACTTTCTGGGCCTCTCCTGTTTTTCTCATAGAATACGTTATTCTCACTTAAAAATCTCAAATTCATGACAATGTTAGGCGCTCGCCAGAAGTGAATCATAGATAAAAGTAAATTATACAGGGTGTTTCCGAAATAAGTGCATTTCTTTTGAGGGGTAATAGAGAAGGGGTGAAAATAAACAACACATACTTTTTCAAAATAAAAGAATTGTCAAATGGAAGAAACAGGAAATTTTGAAACCGGCCATGTTTTTGAAAGGGCTCTCAGTTAGAAAGTGTTGAAACACCGCTGGGACTGAAATTAATTGAAAAATAACACAAGCACACAAAAAAGGTCCAGCCAGTTTTCACCCAAATATGGATTTTCTGAGAAATATCTAGATCATGGGTAAATATTACAAATGCCATCATGTTCAGCGCCTCTAAAAAAGTACTACGAAATATTTGGACAAAATTTAGGAAAAAATCAGTTTAGACCCATTTTTGCGCCAGTTTTCACCCAAATGTGGATTTTCCGAGAAATATAGAGATGTATGCAATGTATTTGGACAAAGTTTAGGAAAACATTAGTTTTAACCCATATTTGGGCATTTTCACCCAAAAATTTCACTTTCCTCCGAAATTCATCGGCAAGTCATGAATTTTGAATATTGTATTTTTTTCAATGCACTGAATTCCTTTGGACCTTTTTTTTTGTGTGTGCCTGTATAATAGAAGTAAACTGCTTCCATAAATCGATATTTGGTAATTCTACAATAATTGTTCGAAATTATTTCCACGGGCTAATAAGCATGCTTCTACTATCGGAATGAATGAAATAGACCCCTGAGTTATATAGCCTCACTATTACTCTATTGTGTGCTAAAATTTCAGTTAATTTCGTTAACCCATATTTTAGTTATTAATGAAAATCACGGTTTCTGCCTACAAAATGTATACTTCTCACTTTAACTCGTAATTTTTTTGTTAATTGATAAAGAAATTCCAATTTTTTTCTGACGATAACTCGAACTATTGCCTTTAGTACTGTGAAAGTCATTTGTCTCAAAAGCTTTTCATTTTTATTTTAAGCAAAACAGTAGGGAGTGCTATCTCCGTAAATATTGCACGCTTTAAAAAAAGAAAAAACTGACTAATTGTAAACAACAATCTGAACTAATTTGTTAAAATAATAGAGTTATAAATACGATATTTATAAAAACAGTATCGGAATGGTCAATTACGTTCACGGTCCTATGCAGTACCTATAGCCTTTATAACAGTATTATTTTAACAAATTTTTTCAGATTGTTGTTTACAATTATTTACTACTTGAGTCAGTTTTTTTCTTTCTTTAAAGAATGCAATATTTACGGAGATAGCAGTCCATTCTGTTTTGCTTAAAAATAAAAAAAAGAAGAGCTTTTGAGACAAATGACATTCTTAGTACTAAACACAATAGTACGACATTGTCGGTAAAAATTTGGAATTTTTTTATAAATTAACAAAAAAATTACGACGAGTTAAAGTGAGAGGTATCAATTTTGTAGGCAAAAAAACGTGATTTTTTTAACATTTTCATTAATAACTAAAATGAAATATCGAAACTAACTGAAACTTTAGCACACAATAGAGTAATAGTGAGGTCCAAATTTCAAATTTCTTTGCTCCTACGTTTTCTTAATATTGGTTTCCAAAATCACAAATCTATTTCATTATTTCGATACAAAGTGGTGATGAAGATAATCTCGTATGACTACCATTATTCGAGGCATTCATCTAATTTCACTGGCTGTACTAAATATTTGCTGTTGAAGATCGATGACATTGAGAATGGGTGTTCGATACCAACGAAAAAATTCTAGATGATTCATATCAAGACATTCTGCTGACTTATGCATGGGTCCATTGCGCAAAAACGAATGTGTAGACTGTCACAAACAATTTGAGAAACATGCGGAGGAGCACCGTAGTGCATGAAAACCTTTCTTGCACGCGACTGTAATAAACCTAATAAAACCTCGCACAATTGCTCCAAACAAGTTGTCACCGAAAACGCCACACCACTTATTCACTGAAAGTCATAGTTTTACCTCTCAGGTGCTATTGGTTAGTTTTTGACTGAACTGAACAGTACCACGTCTGAAGTTGATATCTTCATTGAATTTGTTTTTCACGTCTGATGTTTCAACGATCGCAGAACCCCTAAGAAATATTTATGTAAGTAATTACTATGAACGAACTGGATTGTGGCAAGTATTTAGTTTCAATTGATCCTTTAATAATTATTCCAGTTTTCGAGTAGATAACACGTCCAAATTTTAAATTAATAAATAATAAAACGTTTATAAAAGAGCTACTTACATAACGATTGTCCTTTTTCACTGAAATGGAAACAGTCCGGTGAAAAGAAAGTATAATCTGTCTTTCCTTGTGATGTCGAAGGTAACATTTGTTCTAATGTGTAATAGTGAGGTATTACAGTAAAATCGTCTAGATCAAACTCAGGATAATTAGACACTTCTATATCTAATTCCTGCCACCTTCTCATTAAGTCAAAAAATAATTTCCTCCTATCTGTGTACTGTCCTATTATACAAGGACATTCAACAAGATGAGTTATATTACATATAGGCGGTTTATTACTCATTTGAGTTAGTATTCGTAAATCTGAAAAATACAGAGAGAAAATTACAAAATTACAGTAAGAAAAAGATTTCTTATTTTGCAGTTATAATGAAAAGAAAATAACATATTTTCATACAGGGTGATTTTTCAGATCACGGAAATATTGATGACTGATAAATTGGAAAATTTTATAACTCCATATTCGGACGTAAAATTTGGCGCTCTATCGAATGTTGCCATAAAAAAAATTGGGAGTTCCATTTAATATCTTTGGTTTGACTTTGAAACTTAAGGTTGAGGTCACTAGCATATTGTTTTATTTTGATATCCTACACCTTTTATCTGAAACATTTTTTGATAGAATTCAATCCTGAACAGTTATCGGAGGGTCAGTATTTTTTTGGAACCCTGTATATTGAACGCTTGGACATCTGACGTGATTATTATTATGGACTAAAACTTACAATAATATCATTTCGAAAAACAATACTGTTGAAGTTCTCAATATAATATTGCAATAAAAGTAATTATATTTTATACTTTCAATCCCATTTTGCAATGAAATACATTAAAATATTCCTATAAACCTGTGATAATAATCAGAAATGACAGCGCATATAGATAAGAGATAATTTTTGGTTAAATATATCGAAACAGGAAAGAAATTTCACATTTTTACGCTACTGCATTATTTTTTAAAACTTTCCCAGACGGTTACTGAATATGCAGTGTTTTCTATTTGGTTTAATGGATCAACACTGCATATGCATTACATTCACTTCTTTTAATTTTCATGGCGATAACAAATTATTAGTAAAACGACTTATGCCGTCTATGCATTATTTAAAATCCTAACAAAGCTAAAAAATTTAAGGTTAAAAATGTCATTATTGCATTTTGGATATTACGGAGTATACAGGGTGTATTTAAATGGAGGGGCACAAATGATACCAGAGATTCCTTGGGTGAAAATAAGTCGATTTAACCTAACATACCTATATCCCAAGTTGCATAATAGAACAGATACAGGGTGTCAATGTGAAAAATAAAAAATGGTTTTTCCTTAATAATTTTAATCAGAAATGTTTCAAATTTTCAACAGAGAGGTTTTTTAATGATGGGAAAAATAATATATTAATGATTTTTGAGTGTCGAGTACGAGGCGCCCTCTGCAGGCAACGTTATGCATTGAATATGTAGTAACTTTTTTGCGAACCCCCGTATACAGCTCTTAGTAACAAGATATGAAATATTGGACCTTTTTGAACAAAAAAGGTATACTAATTGAAAATGGCTAGTCAACCGTATTTTTAATTTCATAAATTAGTGTTACGGATTTATACCTCCATGAAAACCAAGGTACAAACAGACACTTTTGTTAATAAATTTAGAATCTGTATTTTAAACTTCGACCAAAAGAGGGAGCAGGAATCAACTAAGTCAACACTATTTTTCCTGTTTTAAATTTACTTTACTCTTTTTGCGTTATTATTTTAGCATTAATTTCTATTTAATTGTTTTTTCGGTGTCTATTAAAAAACAGATTTTCTTGTGCATGTGAAATTATTTAAACCCTGCATTAAAGAAATATATGAAATAACAGTTCAGGTGAAAAAATATTGCAAAATACTTTTATTGTTAGTATAAAAATAATTATTAGAAAAGAGAGCAAAACAACTAAAACCAAGAGTCACTTAACAGTCAATAGATAATTAATAGAAACATTGGCTGAAAATAAAAAAAAAAAAACAAGATTTTTTAAAGGATATTTTCGAAGTAATTTCCATTTTCTTGTAAGCATAGTCTAATTCTATGATTAAAATTACTGCGAATTAAAAAAATATGTATGTCATTCTTTACTTCCTCAGCTGCTGCTGCAAAAATTCTTTGACGAAGCATCTCGACACTGTCAATAGGGTTGGAATAAACAACATTTCTTAAGTGACCCCATAAAAAATAGTCCATGAGTGTAAGATCCGGTGATCGCGCAGGCCATTTGACTGATCTTGTAAATTGCCAAGGACAACTTCTTCAAGTTCTAGATCGCGAATCAGACGTCTTCTGCCAGGACGAGGTTGAATGTGTCCGATTCCTTGAAATCTTCTTTCTACCGCCCGCCGCAAAAGTTTGTCCAGCAGGAACACAACGATTGGGATATGTGGTATGATTAAATCGTACAGCAGCAGCACAGTTCTTGTAACATTCAAAAAATACTTGCAACATATCAACATACTCGTCATTAGTCATAATAAATGGACATTTTATTCAATTCCAGAACTATTTAATATCTAGGATGCAGGTAAATAGTGACTAAAATCAATTAACACTTAAAACTAATACTTCAAAATTACAATTTTCGAGTATTATCAAATGACATTTACCTACTCGATTTTTTATTTATTTAAACAACTCGAACCTTCGTATTCGTGAAGGTATAAATCCGTAACACTAATTTATGAAATTAAAAATATCTCCTCAACGGTTGGCTTTAGCCATTTTCAATAAGTATACGTTTTTTGTTCAAAGAATTCCAGTATTTCATATTTTGTTACTAAAAGCTGTATACGGGGGTTGGCAAAAAAGTTACTACATATTCAATGCATAACGTTGCCTGCAGAGGGCGCCTCGTACTCGACACTCAAAAATCATTAATATATTATTTTTCCCATCAATAAAAAACTTCTCTGTTAAAAATTTGAAACATTTCTGATTAAAATTATAGAAATTATTAAGGAAAAACCATTTTTTATTTTCCACTTTGACACCCTGTATCTTTTTTATTATGCGACTTGGGATATAGGTATGTTAGGTTAAATCGACTTACTTTCACCCAAGGAATATCTGGTATCATTTGTGCCCCTCCATTTAAATACACCCTGTATATTAGATTGACTTAATGTCGATTCCTTTGATACCCAAGTCCCAGATTTCGGTTTTATAGTCGGTTTTATAGTCTCACTACAGACGCCAGGCAAAGTAATACCGAATACAATATAACTATTTGTGTAGCTATTTTGTTTGTGGTAATATTACCGACAATATTTTGTGTAGCTATTATGTTGTGGTGCAACTCGATCTCCGGATAGACCAGGGCGGATCTGTTGAAATATCCCACTTCTTGGATGTAAGAGGGGGCAAGCTAATTTGCTGAATACCTTCAGTACAACTCACATAATAAAAGTTAAATCCCTACGTCTGTGCGAGGCCCGGAACATTTTCAAAATAGCAAAAATGTTACCTATTTTACCTGAGTTTTTTACTAATATCTTGCAACCTATGCACTTTGGAAGAATATTGAAGAGGAAAAAAGTTTTAGAATTGAATTTTGCACAATATACTGTAAGTTAAAAATGTTTAAATTTATTACCGATGTTGAATTTATTACCAATAATTGATGAAAAAAAGGCAAATATGAATAATTTTTAAAAAATATTTTAATTGCTCCGAGGGCATTCTAATTTTAATAAAACTTTAGAGTATAATAAAACAACACACCAAATTTCATTAAAATCGGTTCATTAGTTTTCGCAAAATAATTTTTCGAAAAAAATTTTGAAAAAATTTTTCAAATTTTCAAATTGTTGCACAGCCTCAAATAAAACATCTAGATATTTGAAAAATTTTTTCACATAGAAAAGACCGCTCAACCTTTCAAATGTTTTTGAAAAATTGAAATCGGTTGATTGTCCTAATCACCAGCCACAATAAAGTTAACACTTTTTTTATTTTTAAACAATTAGATTACATTTATCAATTTGCAATTTAGTTTTTTTTAAAATTATAATTCAATATTCTTCCAAAATGTATGGGTTCCAAGATATAAGTAAAAAACTCAGATAAAATTGGTATTTCTAAAAAAATTTTAAACATTTTTGAATTTTGAAGATGTTCCGGACCTCGCCCGGATCTAGAGATTTACACTCTTATTATGTAAGTTGTATTGAAGGTAATTCAGAAAAAAATTGCTTGCTCTGTTTCGAGGTGGATCCGCCCTGGTTTAGGAAGGGTGTTGTGGATTTTAGACGAGTGCACATCAACATTTTTAAGGGAGCATTTTAGCACGGCAACAGAGCATAGACCAGAGTCCCTCGTAGAGTATGTCCCAATAATGTCCATATTAGCGCACCGCGTCTTAATATTCGGAGACAATATATTTTTAATTACAGAACAATTAGCATGGCAACAATGTGTTTTTCTTTATTTTCATAGTCGGAACATCTTTATAAATAATTAAGAAAATATATTCAGAGTTTTATCTACCGCATATTAGCTTTTCTTTGTCCATCGTGCGCTGTGCGTGGGTTCGAAAATACTAAGCTCCGTATTTAATTCAAAGTTACAGAAAATGTATACAAAGTATACTAAATCAACCTAAGTTTGAAATAAAAGGGTATAAGGAACCTATCGTGCCTATCGGTGATTATTTGGAATTTCCAGTCTTTGAAGTATACTTATACTTAGAGGTTACACTACTTATACAACAAGCATCATTTTGCCACTTGGATATAGTGAATATACTTATTTAGTAGAATATAAGAAAGTGTTAATCTATATAATTACTGTTATATTTAGGAGACTGTCAGCTTCCTTAACACGAACAGCTGGCCAAATGAAATCTACAAAGCTGAACTTCTTCTGAATTATTTCTTAAACTATATTACTTCTTAAATGTGACTTATCATCTGGTGAAACCCTCCTGAGCCAAGTAGCTCCATTTGGAGGTCTGGTGTCTTAAATAATGTGGTGGTTTTACGATTAAGGGATCTTGCAGCCAGGAGATAAGCATAAGCAGGCAGTGTCCCAAATCAGGCAGCACACAAAAGCAGACAGCAAATAATGCAGATAATGCACCGCAGTTAATATCCATTTCCATTTTCCCTGTTCGTTATTTTACGTCGGTTTATTTCTGCTAAACACCGACGAGGAGAGGCAACCCTCAACCTGAAAATTTTGTCGAACCCCTACTTTGGCGTAGGGTAGGGATCTTTTACTTGCCTAACATTGCTTAGAAAAGGAACCAATAGTTTTACATCTTTTCCAAGGGATGGTAGGTATGTCTTGCTATACAAATCTCGCCTAAATTTGTATAGCGTCTGTGAATACATCGACATACTAGAAGGTGGACGAGCATCGCGAGCCTGTCCTGGATGGTCACCATTCAAGTATTAACCGCAATCAGCGTTGCTTGACATTTCATATCAACGACATGAATTTCAACTCGCTAGGTCGCACTCAAAACATGTTACTTGTTTTTTGATTATTGGCTATATTTCTTTAATTGAACACTGTTTCTTCTAAACTATTGCTAATTCGTATATTGGTATCTAAGCCAAGTTACAACCCTTTACAAAATATGTACACTGATTAGAGGCTCTTTTTAGAATGTTAAAAATGTCTAGATAATTATAAATAAGGAAAAGCAAAACTTACGAATTGGAGGGATAATATTTACTATGGTCCTAGGTAAATTATTTTTCAAAATTCTCAGCACATATAACAAATCCCGTTTGTGCTTAGCAAGGAAAACTTCTGAGTTTTTGTAATAGCACATTTCCAGACAAAAGTCATTATCGCCTATCATAAGGGTTATCATCTGAAAAAAATTGTGTTCCTTGAATCATTGTAGAATGAACCAAATGTCTAAAGCCAATAATTTAACTTGGACTGAAATGGAAAATAGAACAGTAGTTCGTTCTATCTTCCATTTCAGTTTGACACCATATCTTAGGAACACCCTGGCATTTGGAGGACAATTTAGTACTTTAATGAAAAACCTATCTCGTTCGTGTGTTTCATCTGTTGCTAATATGGCTTGTGAATAACTTTTCACTCAAAAAAAAGAAATTATATTCTAATCTTTTGTTGCAAAATGTAATATTAAGTTTTAGTTCTGAAAAATGGTAAAACGAAGATGTTTTTCCTAAGAAATGTTGTTGTTAAGTAGTAAATACATTCAAAAGTATTATACGTCTTTTTATTCCGTTATTAGTTTTTACTTTACTTTAAAATATTACAAGTTTAATAAAATCAAGTTCATATATTTTTCTAAAATTCTCGTTATATATTGCGAAAAAGCAACTTCATTGAAGGAAATATTTTTTCAGAATGTCTAGAGTTGTTTTGAATTACCCTCGGAATATGCTTTTATCTTTTAAAGTAGAAATTCTAGAGTTTTTAATGGTAGTATTCCTACTTCTGATGTGTACACGCTCGGTTCATTGAGACCTATTATTGGTCTTAAATATCGCAATTCAAGGAACAAGTTCCTGGAATTATGACATGGACTAAGAGAACTGTATAGCGTCAATCAGTTTTTCTTGAAAAAGTTTGATATTTTTGGGAGTTATTTTGAAAAACCGACAATGAAAGTTGGATAATTCATTAAATCTTCTTAATGAATCGTAATTCATAAAATTAAAATATATTTACAGTCAAGACAAAGTCTTAGACAAATTTTCGCGCAAGCAAAAGTTCGACTAAAAAAATGATGAGTGTATGCTTTTATATTTTTCCTAGTAATCTTGTGTGAAATTGAAAATGCATTTTTATTCATATATCAAATTTAAGGGAGAATTTTACACTGAATGCAACTACCACCATTTTACGAAATTTGCATAATATTTATTTAAGGTATTATGTTTTTTTCGGGTTGTTATACTGTGGCATATATACCTGGTCACTATCAGTTACAGCTTACAGCATAGTAACCACTGAAGATGCCAACAGTAAACAACAGAGAAATATTTAGAAGCATCGAAAGCGACCACTTGCAGAAGCCACTACAAAATGTCTTGGAGGATCACTGTTGTCTGAGGAGCGGTTGCCTACGGAACAGTCTCAGGACGAACAACAAGAACTGAAAATAATGTCAAGGCATGCAGATTCGGACACGGGGTGTGGCCCCTTAAGAGCCTAGTCCGAAAACAACAAGGTCAGGTTAAAGTTTCATAGGTAAGGTTAAGGTAGTGTATTATAAGTCTGTAAATGTACACTGGCCACAGCATAACATTCCAAAAAGCATGATACTTTAAATAAAAGCACGATCCGAAAAAGTCTTAAAATCATTATTGTTTGATAGTGTTAATAACTTGATTTGGAAAGTTTTCGCTATTTCTTGCTTTGATTTGACCGATCTTCACTGATGAAGGCTATTCGACAATTGCCAATAAGTTATTGTTCAAAAATACAAAAATTTATATTTTTTCAACTTTGGTCTCCTCATAAATATTAAATATTATAAAATATTATATATTATTAAATATTAAATATTCGTATTTTATTTTGTGTTGCGTTTTCACAAAAACGCTAAAACACGTCAATTAGTAAATATATCATATATATTTTAATCCTGCTATGATAATTTTGAGAATTTTTTTACGGTACGGTACTGCTTACGACAGCATTCTTTTGTATGGATCTCATGTTTCATTAACTTATAGCCTTCCCTAATTTATCCGCAATCACTTTATAATCGGACTTTTATCCACACATAGGAACCGTCTAATGTGATATTTTATCCACTGGAATAAAAGTTTATTGCACTAGTAGAATAATGAAAAAGATAAACCTATAATACTATAGCAACCAGTAGGTATAACAAAACCTACCGCGTTTCATTGAGTACTAGTAGGAAATAAACAAATATCAAGTGGTGCGAATATTTTCTTATTAAATTCCAATAATCTCGACTCCACAAATATGATTGTGATGTGATTGTGGATAAAACGATGTATTGCATTTGTGTTTTAATTGCCTTTTATCCACTTAAGAATACAAAATGCTCGAACTACGTTCTCTCGTAAACAATCTTGCGTGGACAAAGTGCTACTTAAAACACTTATACAATAAATAATTATTATAATTCCACTGTTTATTTTTAATTTTTAATTCATTTCAAATATAAAGGCCACGCGAATTTTTTATTGGAAATGGTTTTTTGTATTAGTGTACACATTATCAATAAGACTGCGTATAAAGACACAAGAGACTGCGTCCTTGCCGTTTTACTGTGATCCATGAGCATTTAGAGAAGCTGCTATCAAATTCAAGACTTTCAGAAAGGCCCTTCAACAAGAAGATAAGACACAATAGCGGTAAGCCATTTCCAACTATCGCCTTTCTATATTTTTTGCGCATTCATACAGGCCTCATCGTAGTGTTATAGCAGTACCATCATTACAACACTTGGTTCTGCATTAAGACAACCTTGTATTTATAAAAAATAATCAATTAAATCATATGACGCACTAAAATTTGGTATAGACGTTTCGGATAAAATCTGAACACCTTGTAGGTATCTAGCAATTGTTTGACGGTTACACTACTCATATATGTAATATATATTCGAATATAGGTATATTTTTAAAAAGGGAGTCCCAAAAGTAACGAAGGATTTGAATTTGCTCCATTTTCATTCCGAAGAGTTGGCAGCATTGTACAGGGTCGCATGTTGTAGTAGACACGTTGCCGTTAAACAAAACAGAGCTCTATACAATCAATGAGTGATTCATTACAAAAAAGAAAGGACCAAAGAACTTTTGAATATGCAGGGGTCGTTCTTGAATGACTCGAGGATTGTCCCTGCCCCAAATTCGACAGTTTCGCTTGTTCACATACCTACTTTGTAAAATAGAAATGCGCTCGTCGCTAAAGATGATTTTCTTAACAAAATCACCGTCTAGTTGTTAATTCTCCAACATCCAACCAACGAATGTCCGACGCATTAAATGGTCGTCTGGTTTCAATTCCCGGCTTGGCTGAATTCAGATCTTTTGTTAGAATCCGCTGTATTGTGCTTTTTGAAATGTTTGAAGTTTCACTGTTACTGTCACTCACCGTAGCAATATTTTCAACTGAACCGCCAGTACGAAGTCGACCTTTTTTTTTGTTGTTTTCAACCGAACCTATTTGTTCACATCAAATGAAATTCAAATTTGGTAACTAATCTTTTCGCAGTTGTTTCATTCGGGACGTTCCTTCTAAAATTCGCACAGTCTCAGCTACATGCTCTCCATTTTGTCTAACCGCAACGTGTTTACTACATGTGACCCTGCACAATACTGCCATGTCTTCGGAATGGAAATGGTGCACAATTCAAATTCTGCATTACCTTTGGGACACTCTTTATTAGCAATGAAATTATTACAAAATAGATTATACTACTTGTAAGTTTTTCTTACTTTCCAATCCCTTTCTAAATTTACTCTAGGATCCGATTTTATCCTTTTCACTAGCTCTTTAGTCATGTATGGCATATTTTCTGAAATGGCACCTCCTTCAGCTACATTAAATTGAGATTCTTCGTCTAGGGTTATTGATGTTCTTAAAGAATATCCAATGAGGTTTGGATTGAACATTTTTAATATATTAGGTAATGTAAGCGATGTTCTCCAAGTTTCTTGTCCACCTAAAATTTATAATTATTAAGTTTTGCTTAATATTCATTTTATGCGTTTTTGATTAAAATCGTAAAGCATAATATACATTAATACAATCTGTCATAGCCTAGTAATTAGTTATATCAAAATTTGACTGATTAAACGATCAATTTTAATTTAAAGATCTATAGGCCTAACAAATGAGTTTCTGTATACAGGGTGTCCGGTTGCGAATGGGCCTTACTCTGAGAGTAGTTTCCTTAGGTGAAAATAAATCGATCGATCGAACAAGTTACATTAATTTTGCTTTCTTAAAATGTTATCGACCTCAAAGAAAATTATTATCTAAAGATATTTTAATATAATTTCATAAGAAGGAGTTTCTGGAGTAGCTAAATGTGAATATAAACTATTGTTTTGACTAAAATCAAAGGGAGTTAAGAATATCTTTAACAATCTTCTTATATTCTTGTTCTTGTTATATTTTTTTATGTAGCTAGAAATTATGAAGAAAATGGATGGAATATTTTAAAAATCATCATTTTATTTACTGCAAAAAGAAACATTGTTGTATATAGCTAAAATGCCCCATTCCAGAGAAAAATTTATCTCAATTTTTTGCTACGGCTACCGGTGACGGACAGCCGATTATTTGGGAGTATTCTAAATTGGCAGCTAAATTAAACATTTTTTATAACTTAGACTAACCTACCACTATATAATGTTAATGACTACAGAGACATAGGCTCAATTGCAAATTTAGCAAAAAAAAAACAGTTGATATATTCAAAATGTTTTTTTTTATTATAAAAAATATTTATTTCTATTCATAATTTACCATCTCAAAATAATATTATACTTTTCTGGCCTAGGCAACTTGTAACTGTCGTTCAGTCCAGTCTTTAAGATTTCGTTTTTATTTTATCTACAGCTGTTCTGTCTTATCTTTCATAAATGGTAGGCTTATGGAAGTTAACGACAGTACCTACGAGCCCAGGCTCAAAATAGTTCGGCCGGCCAACGTTTTCAATTAAATACTTTATCCACGACTATTGTATAATGTACCCATTATACGTCTGTTTGCTCGGCCTTATTAATACCCATTAATCACGGCAGTGATTAATGAGTCATTAATCACTACTGTCAGATGCTTCCTTGATTTAGCTATAATATTATATTGTTCTGCTACAAACAATCCGTTTTTAAAATTTTATCGTGTAAACCACTAAATATTTTCAATTCAGTGCTGTACATATAAAAAAAAAATTAAAAAAGTGAATTTTCCTAGACCGGATTCGAACCCGGGACCCGCGGTTGGAAGGGAAAGAGCATCTACACTGAGCCATCAGCGACTTCATTTGTGCGAGTCGTATATCTGTTTCTTAACATACCATGTTTTTCGAAACATTTCAAAAAAAACTTCAACAAAAATATTTAGTAGTCGTGGATAAAGTATAGTATTCTACTCCCGTATAATGGCTATTATCCACTCGGTGATTTAGGCCACTCGCCTGCGGCTCGTGGCCGTAAACTTCACCTCGTGAATAATACCCATCATTATACGCTCGTTGAATAATATAATATTAATAATCTATGAATTATGCAGAAATAACGAAATATTTCTGAAAATTCTTTTAACTACAGTAAAATATAAACTTTTTAGTTACAAAAATGAACATTTTATTCAATACATATATCGACTAATGGTTACACAATAGATGGTAACAGACTCTCTTCCAGAATATCTATGTACTTCTGCGCGTTAACAATTCCATCAACAAAATGCAGTTTACCAACACCCCTACCAAACATGCAACCCTAGACCATAACAGATGCTGGAAACTTTACTTTTTTGACTAAACAATCGATATGATAGGCCTCTGAAGGTGTACGCAAAACCCGTTTTCGTGTGTCACCTACACAAACGTCAAATTTTGACTCATCGCTCCAAATTACGCTGTGCCGTTGTTGATTCGTCCAGTTCTTATGTTCTCGTGCCCATTTTAACCTGTTTCTCCTCTGAAGTTTTGTTAATAGAGGTTTTTCTTTTGCCTATTGGAAAAAATAAAAAATTGCCAAGAATTTAAACAAGAAAAAAAAGATAAAAAGTTACCTTGTAAAACTTGAATCCTATTTTTCGAATAAGTAGTTCTTTTCGTTGTGGACATTGAATTAGACTTTGCTATACTGTCCCTCCATAGTGCAGTTATTTCTTTAGTATTGGACCACCGATTTGTTTTTCTATTCTGCGTAAAGCTCTTTTATTTGCTTCTGTAATTGTAGATGGTCGGTCGGTTTTGACTTTTTGGTCGACTCCGCTGCTTCTTCTGTATAAATTAATAATATCCTGCACTGTAGAACGCGGAATTGAATGAGAAACTGATATTCGGCGGGTCGAAATACCTTTCTCATGGGCTTTTATAATAGAAACTCGTAAATCTTTACTTAGAGGTTTACCACCACCTTTTTACGTTAAATCTGAAGCAAAACGTGGGTAAAACTAATAATGGCAGATATTTTGTTGAATTATTCAGTATGTGTTTTGTTTTGATGAAGTATATCAGTTTCATGGCAGATATGATAAGTGGCCGAACTATAATGACCCATTGGTTGGATTGCATTTTTGTTAATTATGTTTTCCTCAATTTGAATTTTGTCAAAAGTGATTAAATTTAGCAAATTGATAGTCTATCCTTTATTACGAGTGAGGTAGTTTTAAGGAAATCTTTCATCATTTTGGTAGAATTTATAATTTATTCAAGTACTTAATTAAAAACGTTGGCCGGCCGAACTATTATGAGCCTGGGCTCGTACATCATTTTTCTGCAAATAGACTAGAACACCTAAAGTATAGGCAACCCATTTTACATATATGTTTGCAATTATTTAACTCTATGATTTTATAAATTATTTATTTCTTTGATGTTAATTTGGATTTCTTTGTATACCTACTTGTAGTTAACAATTATTTTTAAATAATTTCTTATGTAAATAAATTGAGCTATTCTTTTAGGTTATTGGTTTCTGTTAAAAAATTTTGGCCCTTTCCTTTTAACATGAAAACTAGGTACTTTATAGATTCCCTGCAAGTTAGGTTGTTCTCTTAAAATATTAGAAAAAAATGAGAAATATTGTATGTAGAATTGTAGGTACTTAACATAAACGACATTATCGTTTTACAGTAGGTAACATAATTTCCTTTTATACATATTCTGACATCTAATTCTTATCTACAGGTGTCCTGAAATTCATACAACAACATTTGGCCACAGATTCTTAAGACAAATTTAGGTGACCAGTCTTTCTTATTTTTGCCAACTGGCCCCCTCTTTCGGAGTTACAGCCCCCTGAAGTCCGCCCGAAGAATAATCTTTTTTTATGTCTCAGCGCCCTGCTGTACGAGAATCACTAAATTTGGTACACAGGGATTTTATGACATGTGGAATCTGATGGTGCTACGTTTTTTGGCGGGGAACCCCTTTAAGACAATTTTTCGTGTGCCCCCTTGTTTTTGGAGCCAAAAAAATTTGGTCGCATATTTAAATTTCTTAAAAATTATCAGTCCACTAGAAAGCCATTAAATTTAGAAACTTTGTATCACTTTATACTTTTTTCGTAAAACGCAATGTTCTCGAGAAAAATGTCAAATTTTCCTCAAAAACATTGCGTTTTACGAAACAAATATTGACAAGAGACATAAATTCAATGGTTTCTAGCTAACTAATAATTAAAAAAAAGTCAAATTTGCGACCAAATTTTTCTGGTTCCAAAGACAAGGGGGCCCACGAAAAAGGGTTTTAAGGGGGTTTCTCGCCAAAAAGCGTAGCACTGTGAGATTCCACGTCATAAGACTCCTGGGTACCAAATTTAGTAAAAAAGACTTCTTAGGGGCAGATTTCAGAGGGCTGTAACTCCGAAAGAGGGAGCCATTTGGCAAAAAGAAAAAATACGGGTCCCCTAAATTTGTCTTAATAATCTATGACCAAATTTCGTTGAATGAATTTCGGGACACCTTGTATAGAGTTTAACTAGGTATATGAGATAGATTTCTTATACAGGCGTTTTTATGTTCTTGCCCTACTATCAACTGGCTTTAGTAATGTGTCATTCGTTTCATACGAAACAAAAGACCATTATTTATTAGTTGGGCAGGCATGCATATGAGTTTTCTTTAAACAACAGAAACCCATGTGGAACACTCTTTTTTCCATATCTCACGATATCCCAAGATATTCAATGTTTAATCATAAATGAGATTTTCTCGAAATCAACCGTAATAAAGTTTACAAAATTACATACAATTACATACAGGGGGTCTCGAATATTTTAATCACGAAAATTATAGAGGAAGTAAAAATAGTGGCATTTATAAACTTATTTCCGGAAACCCACCGTTATTACAAAAATACGTGCAAATACCAGAAAACGAGCACAGCTTTTGTCGTTTTGGTACAATTTAGTAATTTGTAAAGATGACACGTTTAAATAAATTTAAATTTACCCAATACCCAAGAAAATAAATATATTTTAATATTAAATAAAAGGTTCAAAATTTCCATGATAAATTTAAATTGATACAGGATGTTTCACATGAATGTATCAGATATGCAGGAATGTTTTCCTAGTCTAAATTTAAGAATATTTTTTATTTCATTTTATTAAATCTTGAAGATATCAAGATATAGGGCCTTAAATTTAGAAAAAAGCTAACAGATTCATCAGATACTTTATAGCTACGGCTTATATTAACTTAGTGGTGGAGTTTAAAAGAATAGAAAATGCTACTAAACGTTTCGACTTATTGTAAGGTCTGGTCCATTCTGTACGTTTTAAAACGCATTTAATAAACAAATTTTTCGAAATGGATATGCTGTATGTTGTCAACCTGATTTTATTGTCATTATGTAAAGAACGAGACAAGACGAAAAAAACATGATATTGAGTCGAGAAACTTAAGGCTGTTTCCAATTGTTAGTAATGCGAAATTTAATGGATGACAAATCTTCACGAGTACTTCATATTGACAAGAAATTATTTTTTGGAGTATATGAGAACTTGCGCACTGCACCTTCGTTATTCCTCATATAACTAACTACCGATAAGTAAACAAAAATTTTTGAAATTTTCAGCCAAAAACACATTTCTCTTATCTGTTTCAACTTGATAACTGCAATAGTTTTCGATATATTGACAAAATTCGAAACATTTGACATTCAGTTACAAGAAAAAATGTGTTTAGTTCAATCGTCTTGACCTTACTAATATCGTATTAGGCTCATTCTTAATCAAACACCCTGCATAATTGTAATGAATAGAAAATTTGTAGTGCTTTGTCTAATAGTATTTGTTTTACCAATTGAGAATGACCTTCCTCTATCCTCCGAGAGTACTTCAGGTAAAGTGTTTGCCGACGCACCGAATCCTGCTGATAAACTGTCACCAAGGGCACCTATTACGTCTATATCACCGGGACGTACTTCATGGGCAGTTTTGGGAACTTCTGGACTTCGACTGACTGTGTTTAAATCACATGGAAACGTCATATCATTAGAAAGTACTAGACTTTTCTGAAATAAAATTAGCAAATATATTGAGTCTCCTACAAATATCTGGGTTAGTTAATCCATTAATCCATTAACCGCATCTTGTCTATTTAATATTTTATAGTACACGAGAAAAATTGTACGTCTTAATTTCAATACTAATGTATCTTAGAGTCCTTAAAAATCGATTATTCAAAATTTTAAATTAGTTTAAACATACAATTAGACTGCTGCTATCATTTTCTCGTGCTACATCAAGTGGTCTTTCTTTTTGATTTACGCATTTCAGGGCTCAATCAGTGACCGGTGTGAAGGCAGCAGCCAAAGTTAGCAGCTACTTTTCCCGAACTTAGCCGAACTCGTCACGAAGTCAAAGAAGTAAGAACAGTAGGGAACGACTAAATTGTGCGCGTCAAAAGTAGTGTGATTTCTGATAAATCACTAAAACATGACAAGTTCGATTACAATATTGAAAATTATGTATAATTATATCAAGATTATTAAATGAATATTAAATTTGTTTTACTATAATTAATTTACATAAAACCAAATTAAAGAGTTTTCTCTAAAAATTTAAAGCATGTGATATTTAAATAATACTAATGATTTTTAGATTTCTATTCGCTACTAAAATAATTAGGGTGGTTACTAACCCTTCAAAAGTATTTTCAAACATTTTGTTCCATACGGCCTCCTTAAAATTTTGCATAGACATCTACTTTAATATGAATTAGTAATTTTTGGGATGTCCGGCTCGCTAACGAAATTTATTGAAGTAATTTTAATATCAACCTTCTGAAGGGCATCAAACATAATAGATGAATAATTTTTGCGTTTCAGATTCGCTAACCAATATTTTTTCCTCAATAATTAATTATAAAAGTGTCAAATTTAATATTTACTAATGACTTTTAGGTAGTTCGTTCACTGAAGAAAAATTTTGGAAAGTAGTTAGTAATAACCATTCGAACATCCTATAATATTTTGGCTCGCAGTCATACGATTCGTTTCAAATTTCAGGAGGAGATGAAATTTAATGTATTCTAATGATTTTTTCTCGACTCACAGTCATACGATTCGCTTCAAATTTCAGGAGGAGATCAAATTTAATGTATTCTCTTTATTTTTTGTTGTCTCGTTCGCTGACAAATTTTTTTGGGGGTAGTTGACATTAACTCTTAGAAACACTTATTCTAACATCTCGACTCACAGTCATACAATTCGCTTCAAATTTCAGGAGAAGATCAAATTTAATGTATTCTAATGATTTTTTGATGTCTCGTTCGCTGACAAATTTTTTGGGGGGTAGTTGTCATTAAACCTTAGACACACTTATGCTAATATCTCGACTCACAGTCATACGATTCGCTTCAAATTTCAGAGGGAGATCAAATTTAATGTATTCTAATGATTTCTTGATGTCTCGTTCGGTGACAAATTTTTTTGGGGGTAGCTGACATTAACCCTTAGAAACACTTATTCTAATATGTCGACTCACAGTCATACGATTCGCTTCAAATTTCAGGGGGAGATCAAATTTAATGTATTCTAATGATTTTTTGATGTTTCATTCGCTGACAAATTTTTTTGGGAGTAGTTGATATTAACCCTTAGAAACACTTATTCTAATATCTCCACTTACAGTCATACGATTCGCTTCAAATTTCAGGAGGAGATCAAATTTAATGTACTCTAATGATTTTTTGATGTCTCGTTCGCTGACAAATTTTTTGGGGGGTAGTTGTCATTAAACCTTAAACACACTTATGCTAATATCTTGACTCACAGTCATACGATTCGCTTCAAATTTCAGGGGGAGATCAAATTTAATGTATTCTAATGATTTTTTGATGTCTCGTTCGCTGACAAATTTGAAGCGAATCGTATGACTGTGAGTCGAGATATTAGAATAAGTATTTCTAAGGGTTAATGTCAACTACCCCCAAAAAAATTGTCAGTGAACGAGACATCAAAAAATAATTAGAATACATTAAATTTGATCTCCTGAAATTTGAAGCGAATCATATGACTGTGAGTCGAGATATTAGAATAAGTGTTTCTAAAGGTTATTATCAACTACCCCCCAAAAAAATCATTAGAATACATTAAATTTGATCTCCTGAAATTTGAACCGAATCGTATGACTGTGAGTCGAGATTTTAGAATAAGTGTTTCTAAAGGTTAATATCAACTACCCCCAAAAAAAATTATCAGCGAACGAGACATCAAAAAATCATTAGAATACATTAAATTTGATCTCCCCCTGATATTTGAAGCGAATCGTATGACTGTGAGTCGAGGTATTAGAAAAATTTGTCAGCGAAGGAGGCATCAAAAAATCATAAGAATATATTAAATTTGACCTCTTCCTGAAATTTGAAGCGAATGGTATGACTGTTAGTCGAGAAAAAATCATTAGAATACATTAAATTTCATCTCCTCCTGAAATTTAAAACGAATCGTATGACTGCGAGCCAAGATATTATAGGATGTTCGAATGGTTATTATTAACTACCTTCAAAAATTTTTCTTCAGTGAACGAACTACCTAAAAGTCATTAGTAAATATTAAATTTGACACTTTTATAATTAATTATTGAGGAAAAAATATTGGTTAGCGAATCTGAACGCAAAAATTATTCATCTTTTATGTTTGATGCCCTTCAGAAGGTTGATATTAAAGATACTTCAATAAATTTCGTTAGCGAGCCGGACATCCCAAAAATTACTAATTCATATTAAAGTAGATGTCTATGCAAAATTTTAAGGAAGCCGCATGGCACAAAATGTTTGATGATACTTTTGAACGGTTAGTAACCACCCTAATTATTTTAGTAGCGACTAGAAATCTAAAAATCATTAGTATTATTTAAATATCACATGCTTTAAATTTTTAGAGAAAACTCTTTAATTTGGTTTTATGTAAATTAATTATAGTAAAACAAATTTAATATTCATTTAATAATCTTGATATAATTACACATAATTTTCAATATTGTAATCGAACTTGTCATGTTTTAGTGATTTATCAGAAATCACACTACTTTTGACGCGTACAATTTAGTCGTTCCCTACTGTTCTTACTTCTTTGACTTCGTGGCAAGTTCGGCTAAGTTCGGGAAAATTAGCTGCTAACTTTGGCTGCTGCCTTCACACCGGTGATACTGTCACGATTATAAGATCTATTTTGGAGGGAGAAGCAGATTATCTTCGTAATATATCCTAATTATAAATATGAAACAATTTAATCATGTAAATTTGTCCTGCTTATTAGTTGTGTAATATAATATATACCTGCACTATAAGCAAAATGAGCATTTAAATTGGGTCTGCTTCTTTCTCGACCTTAATGACTAAGGCTAAAGCAACTTGCACCACTTTCCTTCCCGTTTTTATAAATTAAGTAGGGTATGAAAAATAATTGAGATCGAGGGATATTGGTGCAATCGAAGAAGTGAGTCGTTCTTGTATATCGGAACTGAACACTGGATACTCAGAGTCGTTAGTTCTGAGTGTGACTTCTTTGGGAAAGACGGCCCTATTTTGAGATCTGCCGGCTTATAATATTTTTATAGATAACATTTTATTTGTAATCCTCCAAGACATATGGAAGTTAAGAGATGATTTGTTACACCCATCTGTTTTTCTTTCTCTCCCAACCTTCCATCTTTGTAGCTGAGCATACGTCTAAACCCCCACACGTAGCAATATTTAATTTATCGTAGAGAATAGAATAAAATATTAAAATGGGAGTGGCTGACTCCGGGATCACGAAAAGGGTCGCCCAAATATTTGCAAAATATTTTTATATAATGGTGTTTTCTAAAGAACAAAAAGTGTTTATCATAGAGTCCTACTTTAGAAATGGACGCAAGATTGATGGAATATGGAAGTATTCTATTGAGGAATGTTTCATAGAATTTCAAAATCAATTTCCCGGCGTTGTTGAGTACAAAATTTTTCAAAGTGCAGTTCAGCGTTGTGTTAATGTTTTTCGTGAAACGGGCAGTGTAACAAGAAAAGAAGGAAGCGGCCGACCTAAAAAGCGGACTGAAGAATTAAAAGAAAATGTCCAACAAATAATGGAAAATGCGCCAAGAACTTCTGTACGTGTTTTATCACAAATGGTGGGAGTATCAGTCGGTACCTGCCACACAGTGTTAAAAAAAGATTTGCGTTTGTTCTCCTATCGTTTAACTTGTCAGCAAGAACTTCATGAAGTTGATTTTCCGCGACGGGCTGTATTTTGTGAATGGTTTTTAAACAACTACGGTGAACTTCATAATATCACCTTTTTTTCTGATGAAGCCTGGTTTCATTTAAGTGGTTACGTAAACTCACAGAATATGAGAATGTGGTCTTCTGAAAAACCAGATAACTTTTTTGTCGAGGGCCCTCTACACGCTCAAAAAATTGGAGTTTGGTGTGCTCTCAATCGAAGGAGGATTTATGGACCTATTTTTTTTAATGGTACTCTTACTGCGCAAAGGTATAGAGAAGAAATTATCGCTCCTTTTGTTAACCAGCTGGAAGAAAACGAAATTACAAACTTTTACTTTCAACAAGATGGCGCAAGGGCACATACGGCAGGCGAGACGATGAATATGTTGAGGGAAGTTTTCCAAAATCGACTAATAAGTCTCAATGCTGAACATGAATTTCCACCGAGGTCATGTGATATTACGCCGTGTGATTTCTTTTTGTGGCCTTACCTTAAAAACACTATTTTTGAACTGCCTATTCCTGATTTAAACCATCTGCAGGCTCGACTTATAGACAAGATTCGTGAAATTAACAATACCCCGAGCATCTTAGAAAATGTCTTTAATTCTTTGAGGAACAGGTGTGAAAAGTGCTTGGAACAAGGAGGGGGACACTTTCAGCAGCTGCTTTAATTTATTGTTATAACAAGGAGGGGGACACTTTCCGCAGCTCCTTTAATTGTTTGTTATTGTTATCACGATTATTCTTTAAAATAAAGTTATATAGTCATTAACGTTATTGAAACTGACAGCTGCTATACAGCTCGTTGAGAAATGAGGTTAAGTTGGTCGCTATAAGCTACTCCCTACGTCCAATGTGTCAGAGCCAACTTCGACCACGTTTTTATTTGAACGCTCATATATGTAAAAAAAATCCTGCGAAAGAAGAAACAACCGAATTTTATAAAAAAATTAATGGATGAAACAGAGATATTGATAGGTACATAAGATAAATCGAAATTATAAACATGCAAATTTTGAAAATCGAAACAATTATTGTTTAAAGAATGCAAAAAAATACTGTGATGTAACTTGCTACTGCTGCTGCACTATTCGATGTTAGTCAAAAATTTGTGACATACCATTTTGCACAAAAAAAATCTCTGCTTCTAAAGAAATAATTTTTTTATTCATCTTTTGAAAATGATGCTCATTCTATTTAAATTATTAATATTTTGTTGTTATTAATTATTGAAGAAGGAATAAATTATTCCGAAAGCTTGAGTAATAAAAAAGAGTACACATTCAATTTGGCTTTGACTGCATACCCGACTATACTTTAAGATTTTGTTCTATAATATGTAAGTAGGTACAGAATTTTCCATACGTACATTTTTTCGTTTAAGCAATCTTCGATTTTGTGGATGTTCTACAATTCTTCGCATTGCATCGCTTGAAGCTTTTTTGAATACTCTAAAAAGGGGAAGGAAATCCTCCAAGACACTTCTCTCTTCTTTTATTGCTTGTGCAGAGGCTTGCACGTGAGAAGTAAATACCAGGAACGTGACTAAACCTATCTCGGATCGCATCGTTAACCCACCCACATGTAACCTTTATGGATGCTTCAAAAGATGCTAGACTGAAAAATAAAATTTCCCAAGGTGCATAATTTGTTTTCATCTTATAAGACTATATACTAAAATAAAGTTTTTGGTGACCATTACTTTTAATTCATTGTTACATTTTCTATTGCTTTGGGAAAAATATGCGATGACAATAAAATATAAAATCTTTAAAATCTTTGAAGTGAATGCACAAAAGTCATTTGAAATTACCTTTTTACAAAAACTGAATACAATGAAAGAATTAGTTTTACTTTTTTATAACTTAACATTACCTGAATGTAATTCGTTAAAAAGTTATATACTATACAACCCATCAAATTTAATTTGCTATCCGAATAGCGGATTTTTTTGTCTGTTTTTGTGGAATGATTCAAAAAAGCAACTACGGCTGTTATTTTTGTAGAAAAAAAGGAATTGTAATTTGTATTGCAATTGTATGTCATAAAACAAATGAAAAGAGCAAAAGTGTAAAAACAAAATGTTGTTTTAAGTGAAAAGTCGAGTCCTTTCTTACATACAGTGTGTTTTGCTTAAAGTCGGAACACCTCCGTATTAAGGATGGCGTTGGCCGATTTCCAAAAATTTTTTTTTGTGTGGTAGTACTCAAAAAGGCCTACTTTTTGATATTATATTTTTTGACATATGATCTTTTCTACGGCCTACTATTATTAAGAAAGGACCCTCAAAAATTAAAAAAACATATTAGGCATTTTTTTAAGAAAGAAATGGATAGCATTTTCGATTTGATCACACCTCAAAACCCTAATTACAAAGTTTCATTATTATATATTTTACCGCTATATAGCTTTTTACAGGGTGTTCACAAAATAGGTGCAAACTTCGATTTCACTCATTGCAGAGTGTGCTGTATTAACGATGGAAAATATTTTGAATGTGTGTTTTCATAACTTTATTAACCGATAATATAAAATAATATTTAAATATAAAATAATATTTAAATCTTACTATTTTATATTATTCCACCATGATTTTTTAAATAATGATTTCTGGGATTCAATACATGCATTTCCTCTTCATGTAAGACATAACCTCTACCATCAATTATATGGGGCACCTATTCATAAGCGGTAATAGTACCTCATTGGTTGAATGAGTATTTTCCGAGAAAGTGGATAGGTCGCAACAGACCGTTAGTTGAGTGGCCGTCAAGAGCTCCAAACTTGAAGCCTCTTGATTTCTTTTTATGGCGATGTGTGAAAAAGATAATACAAGGCCCCAGAACAGAGAAGATTTATGTAATAGACAAGCATGTCGACAAATAACACCACCACAGTTCAGGAGAGTTATTAGAAATAAGATGAGACGAATTGAACAGTACACGTCAAATGATGGTGGACTAATAGAAAACAGTAATATTTAAATATTATTTCGTTGTGAAACTCATTTCTGGTATAATAAAAAAATATATAATTTGACTGTCCTATTGTGAGCACCCTGTATGAGTGAAATCAATGAAACAGCATGGATATATACTTTCGGTTAATAAAAATCAGGAAAAAATATCTTGAAAATATTTTCCACTGTTAATACAGGACGCTCTGCGATAAGTAAAATTTTTCGAAGTTTGCACCTATTTTGTGAACACCCTGTAAAAGCAAACTTTGTATTTAGGGTTTTGAGGTGTGATCAAATCGAAAATGCCATCCATTTCTTTCTTAAAAAAATGCCTAATGTGTTTTTTAATTTCTGTGGGTCTTTTTAATGATAGTAGGCCGTAGAAAAGATCACATGTCAAAAAATATAATATAGGCGTTTTTTGAGTACTACCACATAAAAAAAGAATTTTGAAAATCGGCCAACGCCATCCTAAATACGGAGGTGTACGGCATTAAATGAAACACATTGTACATATACAGTTTAATTGTAACTGAATATAAAATTTTCAAATAGTTACTGATATATTAACAAAGTAATAAGAGTTAACAAATAAAATGAATAGCCTTGAATGTAAACAGTGTCCACTAAATGGTGGACAATCTGTCGAATTTGGGTAAGATGCAAAAATAGGGCAAATTTGAATAACTTGTGGTCCTCAACAAAATATGCATAGCTATGTCAAATGTCTTAATTCTTATCGACTTTTTTAAGATAATACCTACTTAGATTTTTTTTTAAAGTGAAACAGACATACTGTTTATTTATTATGAATAAAATCAACCACTTTCGAGATAAACATGTTGATGATGAAGATGGCATTATATTTATGTCATATCTTAATAATAACAAAGACCTACCTGTAAATAACAATTGGTTTTTTATGTAGCAAAACAAATGCATAATATCAAATACTGTTTATTATTATCCTATGTTTGACTATATCAATAGCAACTTTATTAATTCCTTTTTACTGCCAGAAACGACTTGTTTATCTGTTAGGCTTTATGTAGGCATTAGTCAAATGGTATAAATAAATTATTTTGTAGAATGTAATTTCTAATTCGAACAAATGACATATTTGGTAATTTATTACATATAGTTTGGAGCAACGGGGATCGCATACTCATAATCATATGTATACAGGGTTCTTCACGGTAAGTGGACTATTAGACGCTTCTGAGGAACTGAAGACAATATGACTCTGAAATTTTATTAACGGGGATTATCAGATATGTTCTCTTCAATGAAAGTAATGCCATCAACGTAGCGCTTCCGGTTATACCGTAAGTAGCTGTCAACTTTGTTATTTTAAATGGAACATTCTATATATTATTGCATTATCGACAAGATAAATTAAAAATAAGTTAAAAATGTTAAAGCTTTCCTATACCTAAATCTAACAGTTTTCGAGATAATCGTCATTTTACCAAAAATTTGACAGATGCAAGCATTTCGAAAATTAATTATAACTTTCTTCGTTCTGGGATCTTTCACTTGATTTTCTGAATACACAACGAAAATAAGATGCACTACCTTCCGCTATCAAAATTACCTGAATAAAATTATACCAAGTGTCTAATTTTTCACGTTATATTTTGAAAACTTAAATCCGACAAAACTTTTTAAATTCAAATGGAACACCCTGTATATTTCTGCATCATATTATAGAAAATGAAATTCTCTTTTCACCGATATGGGCATTGTAGGGGTTACAATTTCAATTTTCTCAAATATTTGCGATTTACTTACATTTTCAAGAATATTACGTTAAAAATATCATCAAATGTGCCTTGAAAGGCAAATATTTGTATTGTCATTCAGTACTCTACAAGTATCAAGTACTTTCTCGACAAGAAAAATGCAGAATAATTATTCTAATGAAGATATTTTGAATTTATTTTATATTCATTTGACATTCACCATGAATCAGTATTAGATGCATTTCTATGATTTGGTATTTTGAAAAATTTGAAAAATTGGACGCGAACCAAAATCGGTCATCTATACAGGGTGTCCCAGTGTCAGCATACAAAAATTTACCAGGGGGTAGACCAGACCAAAATAACATTAAAATTCTTATTATTTATTTTTCTGCGATGCACTCTCACTGAGTTACAGGGTGTTGTTTAGAAAAAAATATAACAACTTTCCGCAATAACTCAAAAACCTTTTGAAGGATTTAAGTAATTTTTGCGTAAGGTTATTTCATAACTGTTGCATATCCTAGTTTTATGTAATTTGATTACATTTTCCTGAACCTGCAATCGATTCTGAACAAAAGGTTTGCTCTTGTTTCATAGCTCAAAAACGAACCGTTTTTGAGTAAATTGGGTCTAAAACATCGCCAGCATTAATTCATAGAAAAATGCATGTAAAGATTTTATTTGTTATTATCTAGTAGGTACCTGTCATGATAAAAAACAAAGTTGTTTACAAGCGTACATGTCAAAATTAATTACAGTACTCGAAGTTAGCAGAAATTAATTTTACAAAACAACAAGATATTAAGTATTATGGAATTTTCCAACATATATATGCCGATATGATATTTGTCTACGGTTTCTGTGATGAAAATTCATTGATGGCCTCACGAAGGTATATACACAGGTTTCCAAATAGAAGGCAACCTTCACAGCACGTATTCAAACGAGTTTTCCAAAGAGTCCGTGAGACTGGGAGTGTTAAAATTGGAAATACCAGAATAAGAGGTAATTTGGAAGAAAATGTAATAGCTGTTGTTGATGATCCTTCCACCAGTGTCCGAAGAATATCAGCGTAAGTAGGTACTCCACGAAGCAGCGTCTTGAGAATTTTCAACCGAGAAGAAATGCACCCATACAATTCCGAAAAAAGGATACAATTTTGCAGATGGTTGTTAGAAAATATCTATAATGACGAAAATTTCCATCAAATGATATTGTGGAGCGATGAAACTATCTTTACGAGAAATCCTATAAATAATTTAAAAAATACATTGAAAATCCGCATGTGATATGTTCATAAATGTCTAGGAAGAATCTTCAACGGAGTCATTCTGCCTCTTCAAATTGTTATAGACCGTTTGAGTTCAGAGAGATACACGGATTTTTTAGAAAATTTGATGGCGTTCTAGATGACGTTCCCTTAGCTTTGAGAAATCAAATGTACTATCAACAAGATGGAACACCTACTCGTAACGGAAGACAGGTATCTGTGTGGCTCGATTTACATTTTCCAAAACGTTGGATTGGAAAAAAATTGACCTATTATGTGGCCTCCCAGGACCTCAACCCGCTTGATTTTTTTTACTGGGGTCATATGAAGCAACTGGTGTATGCCAAATCCAATAACACGAGAGACGATTTACATACTTCAAAAAATTAATGTAGCCGCCGAGCAAATTCAAGTAACCGTTGATTTGAGAAGGTTTTACAATTCCTTGGTCAACATTTCGAGCATTTATTGAAATAATTGTTTTCTATTTTTATTTTTAATATTGTCATTTTGCTAACATAATTTCGTTTCTGTTACATAATTTTCAATTTTATTTTTAGTTCCCCTACTATAGGTAACCAAATATTAAATAATTCGTAGAATACTTGTTTAGTTTCTTCATATTCATTGAGCCGCAGCTACATGGGAAACTGTACCTCAACGGTAAACAACTTTGTTTTTTATAATGACAGTACCTACTAGATAACAAGAAATAAACTCTTTACATGCATTTTTCTACGAACTAATGCAGTCGACACTTAGGTCCAATTTGCTCGAAAATGGTTCATTTTTGAGCTATGAAACAAGAGCACATTTTTTGTTCAGAATCGATTGCAGGTTCAGGAAAACGTAATCAAATTACATAAAACTAGGATGTGCAAAAGTTAAGAAGACATAACCTTGAGGACATGTTGGCCAAGGCCGCCCCTGGCGTCAGATCAAAATAACCACCATGTAGTTTTAATGACCTTTAATAGATGTACACTTCACCCAAAAATTACTTAAATCCTTGATAGGGTTTTTGAGTTATTGCGGAAAGTTTTTATTATTTTTTTCTAAACAACACCCTGTAACTCAGTGAGAGTGCATCGCAGAAAAATATTTGATAAGAATTTTAATCTTATTTTGGTCAGGTCTACCCCCTGGTAAATTTTTGTACTCTAACACTGGGACACCCTGTATACACTAAGCGTTCTTTGTAGAACACTGAATTTTTTTACATTAATAAAGTGCGTTGTTTCAGGAATGTTGAATCTTTTAAATAAGAGGGGATATATTTACACAAAAATAATACCTAATAAGATTTCCTTTCATTTGGATACTATTATTAGCAACTGCAAGTGCAATAAAGAGCAAATAAGCATCCTTTCATTAAAAAAACAATGAAATATAAAGTAGGTAACCAAAATTTTAAATTATAGTATCCTCTCAACTTCATTTCAAATGTCATAAAATTATAATAATGCATTTATTAGTTATTTAAAATTATCTTATTAATTGTTTTTGCTATTCTTTAAAAACTTTTACAACATTAAAAATTAGAGAAAAATTCTAAAAAAACCAACCGAAATCATTTCATTAATTGTTCTGTTTCAGTTGCGAAATACCAAATCATAGAAATACAGCTAATAATTTTGATTCACGGTGAATGTTCCACGGACATAAAATAAATTCAAAATATGTTCATTAGAATAATTATTCTGCATTTTTCTTGTCGAGCAAATACTTGATACTTGTAGAATACTGAATGACAGTACCAATATTTGCCTTTCAACGCACATTTGATGATATTTTTAAAGTAATATTCTTGAAAATGTACTTACGTAAACTGCAAATATTTGATAAAATTAAAACTGTAACCCCTACAATGCCTATATCGGTGAAAAGAGAATTTGATTTTCTATAATATGATGCAGAAAGATGTATTCCATTTGAATGTAAAAAGTTTTGTTGGTTTTAAGTTTTCAAAATGTAACGTGAAAAATGAGACACTTAGTATAATTTTGTTCAATGCGTCTTATGTTCTCCGTGTATTCCGAAAAGCAAGTGAAAGCTCCCAGAACGAAGAAAGATATAAGGAATTTTAGAAACGCTTGCAACTGTTAAAATTTTTATAAAATGTTGATTATCTCGAAAATTGTTAGATTTAGGTACAGGGAAGATTTAACAATTTTGACTTATCTTTAATTTATCTTGTCGATAATGCAATAATATATAGGGTGTTTCATTAAAAATAACGAAGTTGACAGCTACTTCCGGTATAACCAGAACTGCTACGTTGATGGCATTATTTTCATTGAAGAGAACATATCTGATAATTCTCGTAAACAAAATTTCAGTCATAGTGTCTTTGATTCCACTGAAACGTTTAATAGACCACTTACCGTGAAGAACCTTGTATACAGGACAAGAATGTTCGTCTAATTGTTGACATTGACCACAGTTTTAGGTAAAGTCCGCGGCCAGGAGCAGCGTAATCAAAGTGGTCAGATCTGTATTATTGTATTATTGTAGGTATCTGTATTAATGTATTATTTTACTCTAGAAATGCAGTATCATATGTAAACTTGAATTTTTCTTATACAGTTCAATTTACCAAAATTAAATAAGAGCATATTTTTCCTTTAAGAGTTTAGATTTTTTCAAAGACTAGAGATTAATATTTTCCAAAAATAAAAAAAAAATTGGGGCATGAAAATTAAAAACTTGAATCAACGGCAGAAACATCCACATTATTATAACATGTGAGATTTTGGATACTATCACAGGTTAACATTTAGTTTGAAAAAAAAACACCGGACTTTACCTAGGTACACAGGGGTTTTTGGGGTCGCTGATTCCGATGTCGAGGTCGGTTAAGCTCTATCACGTCAGGTTCAAAGTTATTTGAAGGTCAAACTAAGAAAAGATGGTTGAAAAAATATCTGAAAAAAATTCATACATAGGTTTTTTGGGTCGCTGGGTCTGAATCCGATGTTGGTTGACCTCTATCACCTCATGTTCAAGGTCGTTTGAAGGTTAAAGTAAGAATAGGAGGTGAAAATAATTGGAAAAATTTTTTATAAATGTTCACCTGCTTACTTTTTCTGTTTATCTGTCTGCCTTTTTACCTGCACACAATCATGTTTGTTTGCTTGTTAGTCTATATTTATCGTTCGCCAGTATTTTCCCTATGTCTATCTACCTGACATCATGCCTTTTTACCAGCCTTTCTGTTGTTAATTTTGTCTATCTTCCTGTCTGACTAAATGACTGAATGTTTTTATCGGCTTGTTTTTCTGCCACCCTCTGTTTAAATGTTATATGAATCTGAAACTTCATTTATTCATTCTCATTTTGGTTGCTTCTCAGAAAACCTTGGAGCTTTTAGTGAAGAACAAGGAGAAAGAATGCACTAGGAACAAAGATATCAAGGTGTTTGTAGGAAGAATATGTTACCAGACTATTGCTGAAATCTAAAGAGAGACATAAACAAAAGAAAATCTTCCCAGGAACAACGTAAGCTTCCTCGCCCGAATTTGGATTAATACATTTATGTTGAGAGAAGCGAATTGTTCAAGGCTTTCAAAAGTTTGTTTTAATCTAGTTTTTGTACATTCACGCAAAACCGAGATAGGATGGTAGGCAGAAAGGTAAGAAAACAAACTGACAAAGAGGCAAACATACTGTCAGTGGACATTTAGACAGAGGGTGGCAAAAAAACAGGTAGAAAGATTTAGTCATTTACTCAGACAGGAAGATAGACAAAATTACCAACAGAAAGGCAGGTAGAAATGCAGGATGTCAGATAAATAGACAGAGAGAAAATACAGGCTGATGATAAATACAGACTGACAAGCAAACAAGTAGGTGTCTTGACTACATTAAAAATAATGTTTAGAAGTAAAATTATGGTAGGGCGTAATCTTACATCACTGTCATCTTTAATTATGTGTTCATGTAGGTATGTACGAGGCATTCCATGCCAAACCACTGCAGTCGTGACCCGACCATTTTTAATTTTTCTGATTTATTGGTATTATTTTATATACCCTATAGTAGTTTTAATGTTTTTTTCAATTTTTATTGCATGCCTTCAAGAAGTCATGAACATTTGAATCTTTTGGGTAAACAATTTTTAAACACCTGTAACTTGACAGAAACTAAAGATATCATAAACTTTTTATTTCATTTTGTTCGCTTTGAGATGTAGTTTTATTAAAAAATATATAAAAGTAATAGATTTTTAGTTTTTTTTTTAATTTTTAAACCAAAAAAGTTTCTGAAACAGTGACGTTTTTTTTATTTAAAAAAATTCTTAAAAAAACGTTTTTCAATATCCAAAATTTATGAGACAGGTTTTAGGGTGGGATCTTTTTTATTCTATTTTCTTTTCGAGTTATTTTTTTTGTATTTTAATTTTTTATAGATAATGTACACTATTAAACCAAATTTTTATCATAGAAGCAAATCACGATGACTAATTACTAAAAATACTAAATTTAGAAAATTACTTCTATTAATATTGTCACTATCAAATATCTAAATTTTCCAATACAAAATAATAAAATCCATCAACACTTGATGGATTTTATTTTTTGTATTAATATTAAATATTCCCGCCAGTGATGCAAGGCTCCACTTCGAGGGATTTGACTCTAGTTGTTTATTCTCTTAACAACTACCTACTATACAAAAAGTGTATACATACATTTATTTGTAAAAAAATAAGTCATCGGTGCACTGATTGTTATGATCACTTGATTTAAATAACGAAAATAATATTATAATAAATTTTAATATTGTTGTACCACAGACAATATAGCTTATCGCGGCTATTTTGTCTGTGGTTGTACCAAAGTAGTCTTTTATGAAATCTTTAATTTCTGTCAAGTTACAGATATTTAACAATTTTTTACAATAATATTGCTGATAACTTCTTGAGGGATTGAAATAAAAATTTGAAAAAAATCACGAAAGCTACTCTAAATGGGTAGATACTAAATAATATAAAAAAACCAAGAAAATTAAAAATGGTTGGGTCACGGACTCAGTGACATGGCATGGAATGCCTCGTATATAATATTCAATTAATATTATCCCAAAAATATTAATGAATTTTAATAATTAAAGACTTATTTATTTTTTTTATGTGTCACAGAACTTAAAGCACTAAAATTGTAAAAATCTCAAATTTGACACAAATTCAACACAAAATTTAAGAAAAAAAGGTACCTACCATAAGCGCCCCTCCTGAGATGCTCACGAGCTGGCACTATCACACACTAGGCAGAAGAAAAAAATTGAAACGATTTATGTGTATAACATTGCGATTCCTGGAGGTCGTTTAAAATGCGAACAGAATAAAATATAGATAATTTCCTATTTGTTTTTCTACATGTAAGGAACTTCAACTTTGACCATCAAAGGTGAAGGTAATAGCTTTTAATTTGTCAAATAATTACAAGTGTTTTATTATGCTTTTAGTTAATGAGGTGGTTAACAAATAAATGGATAATAAATATTGAGACCGTAATAGGGATTGAAGACAGAGTAAGTAAAGCAGACAATACATAGACATTATAAATGTTGATTTACCGGTTTAAAGTTTGAAAATAGTCCTTTGTGTTTTATTGTCAACATAAATTAATTTTGCATATTAGTTTATTACTAAATTATCGGCAGATTATGTTAATAAAAATTGTAAGTACTTGTTTTATTTTGAAAATTTACCGGGAGTTCGATTTTTCGCTACCAAGTGGATCTAAATTATTGTAGAAGGCATAAGGTTAATCAAAAACAAATTAAATATAATTTGATATTTAGTTCTAAAAAAATTATTACTGCGGCAAAAAGAAAAAGCAGATTATATCATGTGATACATCATAATCAGAAATATATTGAATTTCAACATAGCGTCCATTAGAGGAACAAAAGTTAAATGTTTATTCACTATTGCTAATAAGCCGGCATATTTGAACTATCCACAAAATCTATTGTTGTCTGAGTTCGAAAAATTAACATGTTTGACTTTTAAGTAAGTTAAAAAAGTAAAAACAAACGGTTAAATTTCTGTTTGATATGTTATTCGCCTTCCGCAACTTTACCCAAATTTTCCTAACCGAGATCACAGGATGAGGTTCGAAAAATATCTGACATAATTTACTGGGAAGAGGAATGTGGGAAATATGCGACGGTCTCCCAAACTGAGGTATTCACACTGAGGTGGAACAAAAAAAGATCTCAGAAAGAGGGATACGAATATGAACTAGCATATTTAAAATGCACAATCCGGCGACTTTTGGCCCCGAGGATCACCTCCTGTGCTATTCTGGAGTGTGTTGATACCCTGTCTCTGTTGAGGTTGTAATGAGCAATGAAATGACAATTCAGTAGATAATAACGAGCGTTCAAATAAAAACGTGGTCGAAGTTGGTTCTGACACATTGGAAGTAGGGAGTAGCTTATAGCGACCAACTTAACCTCATTTCTCAACGAGCTGTATAGCAGCTGTCAGTTTCAATAACGTTAATGACTATATAACTTTATTTTAAAGAATAATCGTGATAACAATAACAAACAATTAAAGGAGCTGCGGAAAGTGTCCCCCTCCTTGTTATAACAATAAATTAAAGCAGCTGCTGAAAGTGTCCCCCTCCTTGTTCCAAGCACTTTTCACACCTGTTCCTCAAAGAATTAAAGACATTTTCTAAGATGCTCGGGGTATTGTTAATTTCACGAATCTTGTCTATAAGTCGAGCCTGCAGATGGTTTAAATCAGGAATAGGCAGTTCAAAAATAGTGTTTTTAAGGTAAGGCCACAAAAAGAAATCACACGGCGTAATATCACATGACCTCGGTGGAAATTCATGTTCAGCATTGAGACTTATTAGTCGATTTTGGAAAACTTCCCTCAACATATTCATCGTCTCGCCTGCCGTATGTGCCCTTGCGCCATCTTGTTGAAAGTAAAAGTTTGTAATTTCGTTTTCTTCCAGCTGGTTAACAAAAGGAGCGATAATTTCTTCTCTATACCTTTGCGCAGTAAGAGTACCATTAAAAAAAATAGGTCCATAAATCCTCCTTCGATTGAGAGCACACCAAACTCCAATTTTTTGAGCGTGTAGAGGGCCCTCGACAAAAAAGTTATCTGGTTTTTCAGAAGACCACATTCTCATATTCTGTGAGTTTACGTAACCACTTAAATGAAACCAGGCTTCATCAGAAAAAAAGGTGATATTATGAAGTTCACCGTAGTTGTTTAAAAACCATTCACAAAATACAGCCCGTCGCGGAAAATCAACTTCATGAAGTTCTTGCTGACAAGTTAAACGATAGGAGAACAAACGCAAATCTTTTTTTAACACTGTGTGGCAGGTACCGACTGATACTCCCACCATTTGTGATAAAACACGTACAGAAGTTCTTGGCGCATTTTCCATTATTTGTTGGACATTTTCTTTTAATTCTTCAGTCCGCTTTTTAGGTCGGCCGCTTCCTTCTTTTCTTGTTACACTGCCCGTTTCACGAAAAACATTAACACAACGCTGAACTGCACTTTGAAAAATTTTGTACTCAACAACGCCGGGAAATTGATTTTGAAATTCTATGAAACATTCCTCAATAGAATACTTCCATATTCCATCAATCTTGCGTCCATTTCTAAAGTAGGACTCTATGATAAACACTTTTTGTTCTTGAGAAAACACCATTTTAAACGCTTTTTAAAACGAAAATATTCAAATTGATAGCGGCGATATAGCGCTTTGACAGATGGCGTTTAAGTTCATTTGCTATACGCTACGCCCTACGTCCAAATTTTCAGAACCAACTTGACCACGTTTTTATTTGAACGCTCATTACATTTATGGAGCCAAAAAAAAAGTATTCGGCCTATCGCATTTACATCAAAGAGTGGTTAATGGAAGAATTTTCAGATCTGGTTTGCAACAGGCCAGATTTTTTATAAAGAGACCATAAGCTGAGACAAATCAGCATGCTAAGAGGATGCAATATCACGACTGTCATAGGATTTATTTTTAACAGTTCACGGACATCTTAACAAACAATGGAATTAAGCACCAGTGAGAGATGTAAGTTATGCGGACCGAAGAAGGAGATTCCATTGTTTAATAGCGAATACACAAATATCTGGGGGTAGCGCTTCTGTCACGCCAGGAGAGACTTCAGCCAATGCAGCATTTGCTTGAGTATGTATCACAGGTCTGCTTTAAGTCATTACTGGCGGCATTCACAATGAGTTACAGGACCTAAGTACCTATATCATTTAGGGGTGCAGTGTTGCTTTAAAAAAATATTGCACTATTCCTGAAATTTTATAAAAATGGAAATTTAGTTTCTGATCTTTCCAGTTATTTTTCTCAGTCAACTTTCTTCAATGATAGTCAATGACAAAATGTATTAGTTTAATGCGTGTTCAAGTTATATGCAAAGAAACATTCTAGATAATTTTATTTCACTTTAAATGCTTTCTAATTAAACTAAAAAAATTAAATTAAACTTTCTGAATGCAATGTTTCTGTATTTTTTTCTCCGTTTATTTTAGTATTTGAGTACCTGTGTATTTGAATTTAAAAATTAAACTGTTACGTCAGTATATGTTAATGGAATTATTTTTGCTTAACTAAAAATCTCACTGAAAAAAATTTACAAATTAATGTATCTCTACGTATTATGTTATTATACTACCTGCCTTTTATTTTTATTGATTTCTAGTGGAGGTTTTTGGTTACGCAAAAATAATTTCATTAAATTTAACTCAATTTAAACTAATTTACATAGACGACGAAATACTCAAATGAATGAAGAAAAATTCAAATTATGTCAAGAAATAATAATTTCACATAATATTTATGTTATTTCTTTATTGAATAGGAATGATCTTGTGCGTTGACCACCACCTAGGGCGCCTTATTTAAATTCTAATTGCATTCTATGCCATTTAGAGAAAAATGAAATTTTTGGCATGTTAGTCAAAATATTTCAAAACTACAAATAAACATAGAAGAAATGCTTCAATCAAATTCGCCTACAAAAAAGTGAAATGCAAAAGTTATAGAGAATTCAAGGATGTTTTGAAAGAATTATTAAGGAAGACTGGTTTTTCTCGTTTAGATACCTACTTTCATGTTAAACGTGACTGATATGTTTAAAAATGAATTATTCCTGGAATTATTTTTAATTTAAAATCTGTGCGTCAGATCTGTAATGCAAATTTATCCATCTAGGTACGTGATATACAAATCAGATAGATATTCTGTTAATGTTTTGTATATATTTTATTTTTTTTTATAGTTGTGCACTTGTATAAAGAGACAGATTTTTATAAATAAAAGGAATTAAAAATGTGTGATCTAATAGTCCAGTGGAGGATGAAGACAATTAGTGGTGATACCTTAGTAGGTACTAATTAAATATGAAACGTGAGACTTATACCGTTTCTTTAGGTAATACTTCTATGGTCACATAGTGACCTTTAATATCGGAACAGTTTCAAATTAAATTCGCAAAAAAATAAAATAGGATAGCGCACTTTAAAATCTCGAAAAGGGTTGTACATAATATGTGTAGTACTGAAAGGTTTGGTCTTAATTAATTTTTATATTTCGTAATTTACATCTTAAAATTGAAAAAATGGAACAGTGTTATTAAATTAACATTTAAATACAACTAAGTATAAGAAGAAACTAGTATACGAAAGGAAGAAGTTATATATTTTGAACATGTTTTTGCTAACGGATTGACAAAATTTCATCGTCAAATTCTACGATCAAAATAAGGTTTTATTAATTCTACGGCCATATAAGAATTAGTAAATAAATACTTCTTTTTCAAGATGTGTCGAAGTTAAAAAAATGAAACTTGGTTTTATTTATGTCTTGGAAACCTAACATATTTTTTTAATTTTACATGATAAATACAGGGTGATTAATTAATAATGGGAAAATCGAAAGCTAAAGATACTACACGTAAAATGGTGACAATTGGCGTAAACATGCCTTATCCGAAAGTTGATAGTTTCGGAAATACAAGGTGTTGAAATTAAAAATTTTAAATCGTTTTTTTGCGATTATTCTTAAAATATGCAGGTTAGGAACTTGAAAATTTGTGAAACTATATTCTTTTAAGCGACGAATAAGATGCGTGTTGTATATTCAGCGTTGCTCATGGAGGGCGCCACTTACGTCCAACTTTACCGAAAATTTAGTTAATAACTTTTTACCCTGTATGTCTAACATGAAACTTGGTTCAAAATCTGAAAGAAAACTAATTTTTCCATTAATTATGTACTCTTGTTTCATTTCGGTATCTCGATGAGTTTTCGAGAAAAATAGATTTAACGAACACTATGTTTTGATAATACGAGAAGGTAATAGCGAAACAAACTAAGTGTTTCTTCATGTTATTACAACAATTAACAATAAAACAAATGAAATACCACGTAATAATGATTTAAAGTAATTGTCTGAAGAATCCACCGTTGACAATACAACTTTACACA